AAGTGCAGCGGGATGCTTATTAACGTGATCTCGTGTAGTTATTTACTGCATGCATGCTAATAATTTGTCAAAACACATGAGGGAATTTGTTTTTCACAGTGGTTTGTTTAAAAACAGAAATTGTTTTAGAGGATTAATAAAAAAAAAAAGTTAAAAATATGGAATATGGAATTTTATCACAAATTGAGATTTTGGGAAACTTGGAGATAGATAGATAGATAGATATATATATATATAAAATATATATATATATATATATATATATATATATATATATATATATATATATATATATATATATATATATATATATATATATATGAATAATTTTTAACAAGTAGAAAACTTAGTAGCAATCTTTTCTGTCCAATGACCTTTCCTTTAAGGTGATGGATGAGTAACTTAATATGAATGTCTTTTCTGTGACTGGTAATAGATTTGTCAAATTCCCCCCATTATGAGGATTCTAATGGAATGGTATTCAATTATGGGGCTAAATTTTGTAACCTTTCATGTCTTTGTGTGGACCTTATTAGTTTAAGCTAATGGTAGAGTCCGTCTAACTGGTAATTACCTAGAAAGTATCTAAGGCCAGTTTATTCATCTGGATTATTGAAAGCAGTTATGGCCAACAGTAATTGACACTTTTTTTATGGCCACAAATAAAACTCATATTAATACATGGGTTTTTTCTGCAAATGACTCAGGCTTTATTGAAAATTTTGGGAAGATTTAGAAAAATACAAGTACATACAATATTAAACAACTCACTCCAGTTTTATTTTCATCAAATGTTGACAAAGCATACATACTTATAAAACAGTACACAGGAAATATAAAGTGAAATGGTAAATTGATATCAAGGTTATAACCAATTACTTGTTTTCCTCTATTTGTTCATTACTGGTAACATTGACTTTGAAGCTATAAATGTGGGAGTATAGATCCACTTCTTTTTATCATAGTGCTTTAAAATTTACAAATTGATTTTGGATCACATTTCTCAAATCTAGGTGTTTTTGATAAACACAAAACACTGCTCGAGACCTATATATCCAATTTTTGAATTATCATCAAGAAATCTGTGTTTTAGTGGGTTTATTTTAGGCATCCATTAGGTGAAAATAAACGTAATGAACTATTCTTAATGGTTCTTTCACAAAGACTTCTTTATATTCAAATAGCAGCTTCATTTACTTATTATTCCCTAACATTTAATTATGGGGGCAAAGTCAAAGAATGCTATTTATTCTTTGAATATTGCAAGAAGAATTTTTTTTCGCTGACGTCCCTTGCAGGAATTTTCATTGATGAGTTTACTGTGGAGGAATGTTTAGATTAGGAGTAAGGTACTGGGACATTGTATCTCCCTAATTTACAAGTAATATTTTGATGTAAGTGAATACATCTTCAATACCAAGTCATTTGATTGTGAATTAATCTTCTTGACCGAGCACAGGAGTTGGATGATGTTAATTTTTATATATATATAAACCCTGAACAATTGCCAAACTTTATCGTAAACATGTTTCATATAATTGGATGTGCCTCGGAATAAGATATAAGGTGATGAGTTGATGTGGATTTATCTTGAATTAAGAGGTAAGGGTATATTTCTTCAATTAAAGGCGGTCTGACATTAACTGCCCTAGCCACTTTCTGTGTTGAATGTGTATCAGATTTGTTTTATTGTTTTGCCTGGCAGATGCTATTTGTCAAGAGTGCATCTTTCCTATAAGTACGTCATAAGGTGTTTCTGCAAGCTATTTTCAGAATGTGCATTTTGTGATTGAAAGTGCATTCCACTATTTAGTTAGTTTCTTTTCATTTTCTTTCTCTGAAGACATTTCTTAAAGAATGCAAAATTTGCTCAGGATTTTCCAAGAGAGAAAAAGTGCTAAAGTTGCTTTTATTAAGGTGGACATTTCTGCACAGAAAAAAAAGAAAGAAATGTGTTTATTCTGCTGTAAAAAAATAATTGTCTGATATAAGTCTTAGTCTTATTGTACAGAGTAACAGTATTACTCATGAGTTTTTATAAGTTAAATAAGTTATTCCAGGATTTGTCTTGAATGTAGTGGTAAGTGTATATTTAAAAAAGGTAAAAGAACAGGTCAAGGTCAAGTTGATGGTCTTCTGAGCACGTGATCAAATGCCAGCAACAGAATCAAGTTTATTATAGCCCCAAACACAGATGTGTTTCCAAACTCTCTTTTATAACCTTTGATATCTTACATTGTAGATTACAATCTCAGCATGCATGATGGGATTTTGATGATAACAGTTTATTTTGGGAAACCATGAAAGACTGTGTCTTAATTCATAGAATTTTATTCTAATTCCTTTGGCTTTAAAGATATCTTCTTCTTTTCATTTAATTAGTTGGATCTTAAATTCATAATTAATATGGTTATTATTTTTGGAATCCATGAAAGATATTCAAGTTGTTTCATAGAATTGATCATTCTAATTCTTTTAGCTTGTTGCCTTGGGTATCTTTGATCCACTTTATTCCATGGACCTTAAATTGTGTAATATGCTGACAAATTAATTTGTCTATCCTTTGCAATATCATTTTAAGGGCATCTGGCAGGAACACCACAAGTGCACTTCTGTTGACATTTACCAGACAGATTGCACAAGAGAGAAGATAAAATTCCTAGTGGAACTGTCTGAGACATTGAGAGGTGACAATCGCCCTCAGGCTAGGAACACCAGACAGTGCTAACACCTAATCTTTTATGTTTTTCTGCTCCTCTTCACTGCTGCTGATAATGCAATACAAATTGTGTTCTTTTATAGGGAGTGAGGCAATAAATTTTAGGGCAAAAAAGGAATTAAGACATTGGTTACAGAAGTCTGCTTAGTGCTCTCTTGAGTTGGTGATAATGGTGGTCCTCTTGAATGATTGTCTGTTTCAACAGGTAAATTATTATTAACCCACCCCTACCCCCTTAAAATTTTATTGAAGGAAGTAGTGTGATGCATAATTTTTGTTTTGTGCAGAATCTAAACAACATTTGTCAATTAATGTTTCAGTTATGATTTTAATGATAAGAGCCATGCATGCAAAGTTTGACTGCATTTTAAGTTGGAGGGAGAAAAGGGTCTGACATAGGTTTGGGTTCACTTTAGGCCAAAGTATGTAGTACACTGTGCGCTTTACATATTTCTGTTTTTATAACAAGCAATGCACAATGTTTCGTTGTTATAATATATATCTGCAAACTGGATTCTGTAACAGATTTTTATGAATGACTGACTTATTCTTCTGTGGAGTATGTTGTGTGGTCAGGGTTTACGTGAGGATTATACCACACACTCTCTTTGTTACAATCCTGTATTGTAAAATATGAATGGCAGTCTCAAGAGGGCCACTTCTAAAGAGGATGAAACTGACTGAAAAAGAACACAGTTCTGTTTCCTGCAGGATATGTAAAGTCTGAACATTTATTATAAAAGGCTATCTTTGGTATGGGAGGTGTTCAATGGTATTTCCTGCTTCAGATTTTTATGCAGTATCAAATTTGCTTCTCTGAAGCATCAGTTGATGTATTCCTTTTTAAAGCTAATATTAAACTATAATTTCAAGGTTTTTCTGCACATTTTATTTAGTTGGGAAGAAGGATTTTCATCCAGCTACTGTACAAATGCTGTACATAAATAACATATAATAACAGTAGAAGGTAAAAACAATACAGGCAAGATAAAGGGAAAAAAATAAATAACTTTAGACACAGCATCAGACAAGGAACTTTGCTGAACCTGTTATTCCATTAGAGACCTATAAATCTCTCAGCATTAAGACTCCACAGATAAATGACTGTAGACCATAGGGACTGGATGTGACAGACTTGAATACACTGGACTTCCATATTACTGGCCAATTTGACCTATTTACCATTTATTGACCATTCCATTATTGGATTTAGTCATGCATTATGGAAACTTTGAAGTACAAATGTAATAAAGATATTATTTTTCATAATATCAGATTTCAAATTTCCAGAGAGAGCTCATCAGATCAATTCTGATGATTAACTGTAAAGTTATCCATTTTTTGAGGTTAACAAGTGGTTACTGTTACAAGAGTTTTTAATCTCTTCTGTCCTTGAAAGAAGCATTTTTTTTAGAAGATTGTGCAATTATCTTGCATCAAGGTTCAAAGCAGTTATCATCATCTCACAAGGCAGTGCAGAGATCGAATATTTCATTAGTCATTTCCAAATATAGATTGCTTAGCATCAAGTCCAGAGTTTGAATGTCTTAAGTGTGCAAGTGAATAAACAAAACATTAACAATTTTCCGTAAAAGGAATGGAAAACAATCTCACATGATTTCAGCCCTCTTATACTGAGTCCATTGGGAACACAATCTGATTTCATTGCTATATTTGTGCAATATTCAGTCATAAGTGTTACAAGAGGACTGAACTAAAATGTATTGTGTACACGTATTTAGAGTTGTGAAGTATTTTTTGCGATTCCACTTGAATAAAATGATTGGATATGATGTCATTACTTCCCACAAAGTTTGCAATCAATTGCCAGAGCCTGATCAATTGCCGGCTTTAATTTCATTGGGTGTTTAAATTCCTGCTACGTGAAAAAAAATCTTTATTTAGACCATTTGACGCAATAGTGTTTATTTTGATTGGAGGCTGGGTATTTTTAACACCTCTTGAAGAACTTAAACATGGTTTTACTGATGCGAGTGATTACGGATATATATGGTAATATCATTGTAAGGCAATGAGAATCAATAATGCCATAGTGTCAAATAAGGCTGTAGTTTAGATCCATTTATTTAACACTATAAATTAATCCCAAAACATAATCATTAGCAAATAAACAACTGAAGGCTTTATATTTAGCAAAATTGTTATGTGGTAATAATCAGTATAAATTGATATTTTCTTTGTATGAAAGTTATATAGAGTTATTGAAATAAAAAAGTACCTGTTTATAGATTATGAATATATTTTTTTTTTTCGTTGATAGAGAACTGTGAGCCCCCAGATGCTCAGCTTCTCTCAGATGTTTGATCATAGTCAGACGGGGAATAATAACAACAATACATGTAGCCATTACTCTAAAGACCAGGTATGTGTAACCAAAATGTTCACTCCAAAATATCAGTTATGAAATACTGTGTTGGAATTTACACTTTGCTGTCTTGGTGCAATCTTGAGTGCACTACATCATGAACATCACCAAACAATGACCTTTATATATGTATATATGTATAGTACTAAGAAATCTTGACAGTGTTAATTTATTTATCACCCAATAGTCCATAACCAGAATTTGTACAAAGTATTGAATATGGAAACATTAGTATAGACAGTATTTCTAAGGAGGTTTCTGTCTGGTATCTCATATTCCATTATTATTCTTTTCTGAAATGTTTGGAAGTTGTATCAGGGGTACACGTTCTTTCACTTAAAGTTAATTTCTTAATTTAATTTTCTGGAAAATCACTCCTCTATTTTTACTCATTCATTTTATTTTTTTATGGGAAGTCATGCATGCCATTTAATGCATCAAGTAGTGACCCCATTATTGCAACCTTAGGTGTTCTTTTTGGCTGCAGGGTCAAAACACGCTCCCATAGGCTCCAGCTCTCTCCCTAAACTTCTTTAAACATTCCTCTTATCAGATTTACTAGTGTCAAGTAATTGAACCAGAAAAAGTTAGAAATTGTCCAATTTACTGAAACCAGGTCTTGTACCAAATGCTACCGCTGTCTTTGATTGTGAATGGGGATTTGTGTGAAGCTCAATTCGTAGACCACAAATGCTGAACCCCTCCCCAACCTTTGACAGTGGTTAATCCACCCACAGAGGCTTTTGTCACAAAAATGTCAAATTATTCAGACATGAAAATCTAAGGTTAAAAAGTTCATCTTCATGCAGTAGCAAGGTCGTTATTTAAGTCCAAGTTACATGTGTATCTTAAATGTTGAACAAAATTGGATCACAATAGTAAGATTTTTTATTTAAAATTATTTGTTTAAGTTTGCAGAATTATGCATAGAGTTTGCAAGTACCAGGTATATCTATCATTTATACCTTAAATAGTAATGAAACGATAAATTAGTTTTACTTGACAAGATTAAAAGCACTACCGTATATACTCGCCTATAAGTCGGTTTTTTGGGAGTTAAATTTTGGTCCAAAACTCTATGTCCGACTTATAGGCGAGTTATAAAAAGATTGGTATTTTAGAGGGTCAAACCCTCTAATATAAGCTTAAAAAATACAACCGACTTATAGGCGGACCGACTTATAGGCGAGTATATACGGTATGTGTCTAGTATCAATGTACATACCAGATCTACTAGTAATAAATAATTAAAAAAAAGTCTTTGAAGTTAAATACAAACTTGTCTTGTTTACAGAACATGCAGTAATACCTGGTTAGTAATCAATTTCAAAATCATAATTTCTAATTATAACATGAACAGGTACAACTAAGATACCTGTCCTCTCCACCTCGGGCTGTTGGATTACAAATAGTGTTGTCCATGCTGTACAGGAAATCAATAAATTATTCTTTGATTTCTGGAGTCAACTTTTGTTCATTGTATCAATTTTACCTTCAAGATAAAAATTTTCTACAGGTTCTGTTATAATGGTTTTTCGTAATTTCGAAATCGCTTACATGTCGAGCCACTGATAACTTTGATTTGTGTGGACTTGTTCCGATAACGACAATATATTTGAAAAAAATACCCAATTTAAAATCCTGAAAGTGGAGATTTATATCACTCGAGTTTGCTTGCTTATTGGCGAAAGTCCTGTTTACTCGGTTTTTATCTCAGGAAATACTATAATCAGTATTGGTAAGGATACCAGCAAATTGGTTGATTTCAATTTTACTAAGTGCTTCCTGAACTTAATTGCAACAAATTTCTTGAATGAATTCAAAAACAAGTTGTTAGGAACTGTAGAGTTTGTATCCTGTTGTTCTATTGCTTAGCTGCCTTCTGACAGTTGGCATATAGTTATTCAAGAGCGATCTTGCGCAGCAGAAAGATGATCGCGGCAGTATTTAAGCAAGCAGTAATGCTGAAGTGTGTTTAGTGTTTAGCTGGTCGTTATTGCTATAGGACGTGTATTGGAAATTTTTTATGTGATAGAATTTGTTCAAGTGGAATGGGTGACTAATTTTGAGAATTTGTCACACATTAATTAATTCATTGTTTATTCAAGGAACATATGTGTTTGGGATCTAATTTAAAAAACCTAGAGGTAAATTCATTTCAATTTAAATTTTTTTTAAAATTTTTTATTTAAAAATAAAAAGTAGAAAAAATTGATTAACAAAATTATGTAAAATTTTCAAAAGGTACATTTCAAAAAAGTGGATTTTTTTCCCCTGGATAAAATAGCAATATGAAAAATTAAATGCTGTTGAGCAGATTAATAAAGGTGTTAATTACTCTCCAAACTAATTAATTCACTCAAATGGTTGGGGGTCTTTGATGTTCCAAAAAGGTTTTGCCAAAAAACTATGTTTATTTAGTGAAGTGTGTGATTTCTGCTCACTATTTAAAATTTTTCCAAGACATTTTTGCTTTGATGAATTAATTGATATGAAAACTGTTGCTTTATAATTTAAGTATTTCATAGTCATTAATTCGCGTACGTCATTATAGACTGGTTCTGCAAGATGGTTAACTCCTTCTTAAAAAATGTGTCTAGGTATTTTGGTAGATCTTTACTGAAACACATTCATGTAAGTTTATGGTTTGATTTGATATTTTTAAACAGGGAAATAAATTCATCATGGTATTTTCTATAAAAAAAATATTAAAACCCACTCATTGAAAGAAGTCATATTTAGTTTCGGGGAAATACAGTTCAAGGAGATTTAAGAAAGAATTCTATTCATGTTGCGGTTTTGCCTACTTGTATCGAAACAGTAAATATACATATATCAAAGAGGAATATCAGTTTAATTATACTGTCAGTCATTGGATGTACATACTACCCTGAATTACTGAGATTCTCAGTAACAGAAGATTTTTGTTCATGCACTGCAGGTTGATTGTTTTTATTAAGCTGCAGACAGTATTGACGTTTCTTATTTAGCCAGAGATAACAAGACCTTTAGACTTGTAAAAGTTATAAATGTGATTTATGACGTGAATGATATTGTGTTGCAGGCCTTGATATTCTCTGATGGTATACTAATGGCAGGAACTATGGAGGCTTTAATTCAACATCTTGTCCCCACAAATGAATATAATCCTGATGTAAGTATTTGTAAATAATACCTTCAAGTATTTACTATATATGGATAATATAAATGATGACTGTTGGTATACTTAATTATTATAATCTTTTCTTTATAATTAATGATTAGAAATATATCTTAGATATTTTATTTTTTGTAGAAAACCTATGTGTTTGCCTTTTTGCTCAGCTCTCGTCTGTTTATACGACCTCATGACCTGCTAAATGAAGTCTGTCAGGTAACTGACTAATTAAAGATGATAATCAATTAATATTATTATAAATGTTTAAGGAATGTGGAAGCTAAGGAAGTGGAATATCAGTCACTCTATGTTAACAGTTTATTCTTTCCTTGACAAGGTCAATTATATATGCATTGTTAATTGACCATATTAGAACATAAATATGTCCACCTTTCATATTTGTAGTTCTACTCAGTGTAATGTTATGGTAATTTATACAATGACCCAATTTAAAGAAATCACAAATTATTCACATTTTTGTAAACAGCTATAGCTTTTTGATTTGATTACTCTGCATGCCCTTGTATAGAGTTTAATGGAGTTCTTTCCCCTGAGGAAGTTTTTTACCTTAGATAGAATTAGATTTTGAAGTTAAGATTTTTTTTTTAAGGTATGCATTCTGCAGCAGAATCTGTCAGAAGATGAACAAAGGAAAGAAAAGATGGGCAAGTTTGGCCCAAATATCATTCAACTGCTGAGCGAGTGGGCAGACATGTTTCCTTACGATTTCCGGGATGAACGGATGATGAAGAAATTAAAGGAGATCACACAACGAATTCTGGTTATCTACCCTGAACTTAGGCCTGATGTCACAAATATTACACATTCCCTGGTTAAAAAGGTTTGTTCTATAGTTTTCTTCTTGTGAATAAGTTATCTCAAATATGTAAAAAGCTTTTGTAAGCAAAAAATGTTTCATATGAACAAAACTATGGATATAGAATGTTTCTTGCAGCCTTAAGTTATGTAAAAAGCTTTTTTTGACAATAGTGTTTTATCTGGAAAAGCATTAAATGTGCAATATTTCCATGAAATCATGAAATATGAATGGCAATAAATCATCAAGATATCGAGTGATATGTTGCCCTTTTTGTTGAAAATATTGATTTGATCAGTTCATGAATGCAAATTAAATGCACATTATACTCTCTCTCATGCATCTTAGAGAGATTGTCAGAATAAATAGAAGTTTTATATTGATTTGGTTTCTGTTGTACAGCTGGCTGAATTACAGAGTTACGAGGATGATTTAGCCAAATGGAACAGCGAAGCAACTTCAAAGTCCCAAACTCAGGAAGTGCCAACAGTAAGTTTTATTATTGAGTCACATTAAGTGAGTCACAAGAAACAAGGTAGTTTTTTTTACCAAATGTTTGGTTGCCACGATATCATAGAAACAAGTGACGGAAATTGCAAATCAATCAATTGAATGTTTATTGAAATTCAAACACCATCTGATAAGAACTGTTTATAACAGCAGGTGAAAGCTTCAGGTGAATTAAAGTGCATACGTGTACCTGTCTGTATATATTGAATTAATGTGGCCTAGGTACAATATATCAATTTCATGTCAGTTAAGTGTGTAATGGGCCTTTAATAGGAAATGGATGTATGGAGAAACCATTTAAAATTTATATGGATCGATAATTTCAATTTTTTTTCATTTACAGACAGATATAACTGAAATTTGTCCAAGTCCTGTCGAGTTAGCTCAACAACTGACTCACATAGAACTGGTGAGTTTAAGTAAACATGTGACAAGTGATACCTGATATTTCTGTCTCAACTTTCATAAATAGAAAATAAATTGAAATCTTAAACTGATTCTGATTTTTAATGAGATATTTCTTTTTCCTTATAGGAGAGGTTAAGTCACATAGGACCAGAGGAATTTGTTCAAGCTTTTTCAAAAGAGTCAAGCACAAAAGAGGTAATAATTGCTTTTCCGCCTACACGGAAAGCTATAACATCATTTAATGGTGGTTCAACAATAACACAGTGTGTTTAAATAACAACAAATTCTCTCAAAGTTATAAAAGTTTAATAATTAGTATTTTAATTTTCAGCCCACCTACAAGGACATGAAGAAAACCAGTAACCTGGAAGCTTATGTACAGTGGTTCAACAGGCTCAGTTATTTTGTTACGACAGAAATTTGCTCAGTATGTATTAAATAGACTTTTAATTGTCTCCATATTGTCTTTATAATTTAGGAAGAAATGTCGTATTAAAACTGTTTCATATTTGATAGAGAAATAGAACTTTGAGTTGTTTTATTGTAGCATTTAAAGAAAAAGAGTCGGGTCCGAATCATTGAGTATTTTGTGGATGTGGCAAAAGAGTGTATAAACATGGGCAACTTCAATTCACTGATGGCCATTATAGCAGGGATGAACATGACCTGGGTCTCACGGTTAAAGAAAACGGTAAGAGATATGGGATGGAAAGTTCTTTAAAGATTTAAGATTTTTCTACTGTTGAACGTTTTTTTTTTATTCAAAAGGTGTAATTTTTCCATTAATATTTTAATTTCAGTGGTCCCGAGTCAACAGAGCCAAGTTTGAGATTCTGGAGCATCAGATGGACCCTACCAGTAATTTTGGGATATACAGGTCCTGTCTCAAGGCAGCCATGTGGAGGTCTGAAAGTGCAGAAGCAAGCAGCAAAGAAGAAAAGGTAAAGTTTCTTATCAGAATGTAATCTGTCAAATTAGCAGATGATATCAAGAAGAAAAAAAAATTGTGTGTAAAGGGAGGTAACTCTTAGTAATGGCTCGACATTTCTTCTTTCTTTTTGCAGATCATCATTCCATTCTTTAGTTTGTTTGTGAAAGACTTGTATTTCCTGAATGAAGCATGTTCTAACAAACTTCCAAATGGCGATATCAACTTTGAAAAGTTCTGGCAGCTGGCGAAACAGATCTCGGACTTCATTACTTGGCAGCAGTGTGAGGTAGGTCATACATATTTGATGTTGTCTTGATCAATATGGACATGCAACATGATATTTTTTCTTTTGTTCTTTAGCCATTTGTTTTTTCCCTTTCCTGAAACATTAATAACCTGTTCCTTTCATTCCTATTATTGAAATTCAGATAGACTATTCTTGGGTCTTTTATCTTTTCAATTCTGTTTGATGTCCTGGGGCTATTGTCTGTTGACTTTACACTGTAATGATAGGTTATACAATTAATTGATCAATATCTTGTGGAAAAGTACACCTTGACAAATTACAGAAAGAGGTACATGTTTACCTGAAAAGGGCATATGTAACACCTGGCGACAGGTTGATTTATGTCAGCGATAGTTTAAAGATACCTATTTATTTCAAGTGTCATTACTTGAGATCTAACAATACCCATTATAAAAATGTCAACTTTTGTTTGATTAAATGGTAATTGAAATGTTTATGTTTCTTTTCAGTGTCCATTCACAAAGAATGACAAAGTGATCAATTACTTATTAACATCACCTGTATTCTCAGAATCAAGTAAGTATTAAAGTTTACTCTTGCATTATATAAAAAAAAGAATATTAAAGCAACATTGTTAGAATTTGCAGAAATGGAGTTGTTTTCTCAATTCTTAAAATAATTTAAATTTCACCCATCTTTTTTTTTTTTACTTTACAGCACTAGCCTTAGCATCCTTTGAATGTGAGGCCCCAGAAAAGAGTTTTGAAAAAGAGAAACACAAACAGTTAAAGTGAGTACAGTTTCAAATACACTTGCATAAAACATGCATAAAATGGATGCTGTTTTCAGTTCATGAAATACAAGTTGATGAATGTGTACATATAATTTCCAGTGTTTGTAACAATTGTTTTTTTTCCCCCAGAGCTAGTGCAGGAGTGTGATTGGAATTTCCATGACAATGGTACAGGGACCTAGTGCTGCATTCCAGTTCTTACAAGCCATCCCATTGGCTGATCTCGTTCACTTCCTAGTCATTCTTTGACCAATCTGCTGTCAGCATTTTTGGAAAGCCATTCCATGTTCCAAGTTAAGAGACTTAAAAGTCAGTGACTAAAAGAGTCTAACTTGTCAAGGAAAATGATTCACTGCCAGAAAATAAAATGCAAGAGAGGCATTGTGGTAGACATTGATTTGTGTATAGAGAAAACTGTCTATCAGTATATAGGGCATAGAGACTACTGGTCTCGAGGAAGATAATGGACTAATAGTATTATTGTGTTCCTGGGTTGTCCATATGTTTATTTATAGAATGCTTTATCTGGTGTACTTAACATCTTTAATATTGTTGTTAAAAGTAATTGACCAAAGAAGCTTATGGCTTATCCATGTATGGACAGAAATTTTTACAAAACTCATCTTTTTTTAAAAAAGAACAAGTATAATTGATTTGAAAAACAATTCTATATTCATATGTAATTGTTTCTAAATTTTCTAAGCAGTTTATATAGTTCTTTATATTTATCATGAGATCTTCTTTTTTGGACGAATTTTAATGAGTGACTTTGCATGGTTATATTCATTGACTTCTCCCCAGGGACCATTTTTGTATTTGTAAATGTACAGTGTACATGTATATTGTATAAAAGATATGCCAAATGCATGTATTTATTGCATGATTTTATAGAACTATGAATTAAAAATTGAAATCTTTTTTTTTTTTATATATAGAAAATGTAATAATCTCTGGGGGAAAATATTATTCTTTTTTTTTTTCAATTTGGAAAACAAAAAATTCCTAAAATTGTAGTTTATATATTTTTTTCTTTGGATTTGAGGATCATGTCTTTAAGAGTGCTCTTGATTCCATGTCTCTGATGTTTAAGTGCTATATTTTGATATGTGCTGTCTGTTTCACAGTGTATGTGATAAAAACATGTCTGTCAAGGCAAAGTCTGATCTCAGTCACATCATTTTCATTGTCCATTCTATCGTAAGAGACCATAATTTCACAGGAAAAAAATAACGACCATATTCATTCAATTCACATTATTCGGTCCAAAGAAAAGTGTTTATATTTAAAAAAAAAGTATTTATATTTTGTAATTAAAAGTATTCTACAGGTAAAGCTGTGCAGTGCAATGAATGAGAATACTGGATACGATATTTGTGTTCAGTTTCGTATATTGATTTGTTGTTATTAACAGGTGGTTTACAGGAAGTTGTAATATCTTACCCTGTGTTTGTTACTATATATATTGTTATCAAGTATTGTACATACAATGATGTCAAATGGGAGATTTTTTGATCTACTTTGAATCTCTCATTGAATAAATTATTGAAATGAAATGAATTTTTTTGTTTCTTTCTGAGGTTTTTTTTTTCCCTACATGTTGCTGCACTTATGAAGTTGAAAATTTATTTTGAAAAAGTTATATATATTTACTTTCAGTGTAATTTTTTTCTCTGTTAAATCCATTGGAAAATCGACAACTTTCAACCCTCTATAAACACACATGAAACATTGTTATGGGGTGAAAGAATATACAAAAGGCACTATGTACACTTTTGATACACTAAGAACACCAAAATGTATATTTTGCTGGCTCAATTTAATTAAAAACAAGTACCCTATTATAGAAATAGAAAATTTTACATTTCAGATTGATTAGTCATTTTTTTCCCCTTGCCATTTTAATTTGCATTATGTAACCTTCCACGTCAAAAAAGTATTTTTTTAACACCAGTTCTGAAAGGCACTAAACTGAGAAAAAAAAATTAGAGAATGTAAATATAAGCATTTTGGGATGTGAACGCGCAAATATTCAACTTGTCGGCACAGACAGGTGCTGTTATAGAACTGACTGACATCCAGATAGTGGACCCCTACCCTCCCCATGTGGTGGTCACAGATGAAAAAAATTTATTGACATGGAGTAAATTGAGTTTTTTTTTTCAGTTTAGTACTGAAGTACATGTAGATTTTCATTTCTTGAAAATAATTGTCATCAATAAGATAAATTGAATTTCATTTTGATTTCCTTGGATACTTAATTGCATTTCCTCACAGTGTCTACCCTCCTCTGTTGATTAATCACAGACAATAATACATGATCATTCTTGAAGTCTCCAAAAGCCTTTGAGATAGAAAATTGTGACAGACAGTGTTGCCTCTGAAGCACTGATATGTTGAGGGTAAGTTTAAATAGGATACTAATAACAACAACAACAAACAACCAAAAAAACAAATACAAAAAAACTTCTACATGGATGTTTTTTGAAGCTATTTTACATTGATGCTTCGAATCAACTGGTCAAAGGTAGAATGCTTTGTAGCAACAACTTAATCCCATCTGAGTAACCTTGACAATTTTACAACTGATTTATAAGCAACAAACATGATAAAATACTAGATGTTTTTCCAAATCATACAAATACTGGTAAAGGTATTTGTGCAATTTTATTATTTTATTCCAATTGATGACAATGACTATATTGCATAAAAAATTGATCTATATATTCATGTTAAAATGTGCAAAGAGAGATAACTACTGCATAGCTTCAAAAAGTCTAGCAGTTAATTAAGTTAATTGATCAAGGTGATGGTTTACCTGACAGTAAAACTGTTTTGTCTTCCTTACAAACTACATCAAACCAAACATCTTTTTATTTAATTTCATACATCGACAATTAATTTCAAAACTACAGATATTAAGATGTACACTGTTAAAGGCTATTGAACTTAATTTGCACACCGCTCCCTTTTTCCTGTTTTGTAATTCTTTTTAAAGCGTATGGCAGAGAAATTCCTTTTACATTTATAAGGGAATGAGTACCATATTCCCTATTCCTTTTCGAAATAACCCTGACTCAACTAAAAGTATTATGATATTTAAATATAATGTATATTGTCGTTTACTGATTTTTATTTGAAAATAAAAATAAGCACGCGACTATAGTCGTGTACTTATTTTACTTTTCAAATAAAAATCAGTAAACGACAATATTATTATATGGTCTAATTATAGTTCCTAAGTATACTTAAGTATTATAATAAATTATTTTATATATATATATATATATATATATATATATATATATATATATATATATATATATATATATATATATATATATATATATATATATATATATATATATATATATATATGCATTCGTTAATCGAATATTATGTTTTCTGTCAATATGATATCTGTAGATTATTGTCCATGTCTGAGAAAAAAATATGTTTATTCAGAGACATAAAATACAAATGTAATATTTATTTCTCTGGTTCTCATCCAGTATTTTGAAACTTTAAATAATAAATTAATCTACCTTATAATTTGTTAGCATATGTACCTATCAGGTGTGTGTGTGTGTGACCCCTCCCCGGCGCGCTCTATACCCCCAGGACTGCTCGACTTATTTGTTAAATATTTTTTTTTCTACGGCATATCATCATATTTTCAAAGCATGTAAATTAAAGCCAAAAGTAAGTCGATCAGTTCCGGAGGTATGAATTAAGAGGGAAAAAAGGGGTCTATATTCAATTCAATTTGTTTGTTAACCAATTAAGGGCTCTCATGGGACAAAAAGAAAGTACATTGTATACACCTGTATATTTTCATATTATTGTTAATATACAATATACAAACGTTCAAGCGAGAAAGAGTTGCATGATTGATAGGGAAAAAACATATTTTAAAGGAGGAATAAACCAGATAGTTTTTATACATATACATAAGTTCTCATCGTCTCAAGCCACGGTCCGGAGTCCGCATATAGCTCTCTCCAGAGTGAGAGAGGATCGTACATTTTGGCCGTGGTTTTCGACGATGATAAGTTCTGAGCAAAATTGTAGTTTCTGTTTTATTAATTTGCTTTTACATAATTTATTCATTTAATTTTGCATAATATTTTACAAGTTTTCTTATTATAAATACATTTCCCCCAATTCGAGTTCAAATAATTTCAAAAATTTAATTCACCTTTTTTTTTTAAAGACTTAACTCCCTTAAAACTTTGTGTGATGAATGTTGATCTTAATTCGAATTGCACTGTACAAATGTTAGTACATGTATTAAATACAAGTACACTGTAAATATTTTTTTTTGTTTGGATCACATAAATAATAAGAGACATAAATAACATATTATTTAATATGATGAATCATAAAAGAACATTTCAAATACGTATAATGTAAAATCTCATGTACGGTATTTTTTTTTCTTTCGAAATTTATGTTATTACACTGGCGGACTAAGAAGATGTCCAAAAATAAACAAGATTTAATAAATCATTTTTGTGTGTGTGTGGACCCTGGGCGCCCACCCCGACCCGCAACTGGTCGCCCCCCTTTCAAGAATCCTGGATCTGCCACTGAATTATATCGATGTCGGACATTAAGGACACAGGCAACGTAGTTTGAACTTTATTGTTTTTTTCCCTGTAGTTGAAGAGTTCCAATACTTAAAGGAACTATGTGCTACATTTTAATGTCTAAATATGCTGTTGTACACTTCTTCTAAAACAAGTTTGGATAATCAAAACATCTAGAATATATGTTTAGTAATTTTTGTATATTTTTCTTTGAATTATACAAGAATTTTCATCAATTAATATCTTTTCAAAACCCCTGGTAATGCATGCTGATTTTTTGTATATGAACATCTGATGACACTATAATCTCAAATTAAGAATATCTTGAAAAATTATCAGTAGGTAAGGTACGTTGTGTATGTCCTTAAAACCTTGTCTGCTCCCTCCTCTTAATTCAATTGACTTTTGATCTCACCCCTCATAATATAATCCAGGCGTTTACAAACACTTTAGAGAATCAGATTTAATTAAACGTTTGAACGCACTGATTTTCCGCCAATCCGATCACGTTATTTTCCTAGCAACACTAACGCCCGGATGCTGCTTATGAAAATGGAGGACACCGACATACGAAGTGGTGTTAAGTAGCCAAAAAATACAAAAATATTAAGAGCATCTGTGTATTTTTTCTTAGATCCTCTTTTGGGGAAATACTATACCCATAGATAGATATTATTCATTTGTGAAATCACCGACGGAATTTTGTACAATTCATTAATTTGCGCCTCACAAAACGTAAACATGGCGCTGGAAAGAGCTAAGGTAAGGGTCATCGTGGTGTTTAACAACTGAAATTATCATTAATTGTATGTAAATGTATATAACAAATTATATTAACACAGTGCTCTTTTGCAAAGAAGGTATGTGACTTAGTTTTGCACAAAATTCCAACACTTGAAGTGCAGACAGCGAAGTACAGATTATGTGAGATTATGTAGTTGAATCACATTTGTAAAATTGCCAAGAAATCTTTTAACAGAACTATTTATTTCCAAATGTCTGCAACATTGCCAACATTTCAAATGAACTTTGAAATGTTAAATAATGCAAGTGTGTATTAAAGTGTAACAGTCTTATGTAAAATATAGGACTGTAAACAATAGATTTTATGGAATTATACCAGTAAAATGATTCAGACAGATGTTATGCATAAAGCTATCACTTAAATAATGAACTGCACACATATACTTTAATGTTGAAATAACTGTCAGAAATTAACTTTTTACAGATGAAAATTATCTTTGTTTTAAACTGTTTTCAGTCTTCACCAGGACGGTTTCAAATGGTAAAATTGTAATAAACTAGTATAGACTACGTACAACAGGATGTGGTTCTTATTGCATGTTACCCATTTCAGGATAAACTCATTATCTTTAAATTTAAAGCACTTTTCCTCTCCAATTCACAGGGTAAAGGAATTAATAAACAAGTTTAATACAGAAGTTTGCATGTTTTTTAAAAAAAATTTTTATGAGTAACATTTTTTGTTATAGTTGTAGATGGGTGGAGGAAAATAAAGTCGTTAAGTTTTTCATTCAAAGTGTTGTATGATACACTTATACTATTTGTAATAATTCTAAATGTTCATTTTATTTTAAGTATGTGGAAACTCCCATACAGAGTTGCAGCAAAACTAGGGGACTCCCTGGTTTGCCACCTCTACCAGGGCATGTGGAGGAACCATCTGATCTATATAAGGTACCTAATTGAGAAAAAATGTGTTTTTTGTTTGTCTATATACCAGGTAAATGATTGTTTCAGCTTCATTATGGGCTCTTTCAATATTTCCAAGAAACCTCTATGAAAATTTTTATCCTACTGTAAATAATAAACATTAAGTATGTACCTGATTGCAATTTTAAAAAAATCCATGGGAATATAAAAGAGTTCTATTGTATTATATGTTTTTTTTTAATTGTGTGTGTGTTTTTTCTTTTTAGATTGTCTTGAGGAATAGTGAACATCCTCCAATCATGAAAGGAACATCCTGGACCCTGGCTGCACCATTTAAGGAGGAAAAATTCCACAGAACACCCAGTGAATCCATAGCAAACAACTACACACCCTCAGCCAGTGATTTAAAGTTAAAGGATTTACCCAAACTGACAAGAACAAAGACAAAATGTAGTTATTCTCTTTTAATAGCTGGAAATGAGCTTTAGAGAGAAATTTTCAAATTTCGTTATAATATTTAAAAATACATAGACTATATTTCATTGGTTTTCATTTTCAGTAAATGCACTAAAAAGTCCCAGAACTTCAAATGGTCTTCCAGGAAGAAGCAAAACAATGGTGGACAAAAACCAAATGAATGGTCACAATGGAATTGACAAGTAAGTGATAGTTCCTGAACAAAAACCTGTTTTTCCCCATGCATCTTGATTTCAAATATATGATTTCAGAAGTGGATGTTTATGAAACTTTAATTCCGTTTGATAGAAATGGCTACTCCTTGAATGGGCATGAAGTCTTGCCTGATATTCAGGAGTTACCTCCCAGCCGACCCATGACCCCAAATGAACAGATGGATATAATGAGAGCAATAGAGGATGAAGTTATACAAGAAACAGGGATACCCTCAGAAAGAGATGAACAGGTAGGAAATTGTGTAGTATTTACCATATCTCAATCAGAAAAAAAAGAACAAATGGGTAAATATGTACGCATTCCTTAGATCTTAATCAGATTCCTTTTATTGTTTATTTTACCCCCTGAAAGAGTAGTATTATTTGATTAGTTCATGAGTTAAATCAAATTATATTGGACAATCTTGGTTAAAAGAATTTTCTTAAATTAAGTTAAAAATATGTTTTTCTAAAAAGATATACATGTATTATTTTAGTGCTATTAACAGATTGTTTATACGCTGTAGATTTGACATTTTCTTATATTTCAGAGATATTATTACTACATAGAAAAAGGGATCAAGAGATCCATGCTAGCTCCACAGGATCCAGAAGTTATGAAAAATGTGAAGAAGCTAATTCCAGAGAGACTCTGCACAAGTCTTGAGTTAAAATGGCTGAACGAGGATCTGTCTGAAGAGGTCAACAATGATTATGAATTCAGTCTCAGGAAAGCCATTGGTAAGTCAATAAGCATTCAAAACTAAACTCACATTTAAACTTTAGATATTGAGGTTCATTGATCCTTTGATAAGGGAGATAATTCTCACTGGGATAAATGACTATTATTCCTTTATTAAATTGTTTAGTAAAAAAGTCATTTCATTAGATTTTGCCCTGCAAGGCATACTGAAGTTGTATGCAATATCATTAGATATTTGTAAAATCATAAGTGTTGGCAAAATTTTATTTCAGTGAGCATAGGGATGAAAAACCTTAAAAAATGTTTTGTAGAATTATATGTCATTCTCTTTACATGATATTTCAGTTGACTACATATTGAAGGATCCCAAAGAAAAAGAGAGGCTTCACATTAAATGGACTCCATTGCCTTTTCCTCAGAGGTATGAAAAAAATTGTTTGCTTAAAGACATTTTATCCATTGATACTGTAACTAGCACTCTATGTTTAGAATATGAATTTTGATTGTTGAAAATTATTTCATTTACAGGATAATTCGTGCTCCTGTCCCGTGGCATGAAACATACAGAGAGAGGAAGGATTATAACACAAACCACTTGTTTATCACAAATGCCATCATGCAGGAGCTACAAAATATTTGGTTTGACCAGTAAGTACATGGGACACACTGATTTGCTTGAACTTTTAACTACATGAATCATTTGTTTGTTAACATTTTCTTTTTATATCATAAAAATTGGAAATATTTTGTTAAGTTTTCAAATAAGGAGAAAAATAACTCACAAATGAAATGCTTCATAATTTATCATTATAAGAGCATATTTGATAGTTCTGTGTATATATGCCAAACTGATGTTTTCCAGGTTTAGTGATTTGAGATTTGTGAACCTGAAGGAGTTGATGGAGGCTGATCTCCCTTTGTTGCCATCAGAATTTGAATCCTTGGTCAAAAAACAGTGCTGGGATGCCCATGAAGTGCTCAGGAAAAAGTATGATATCTTCTTTTATCATGATTTGATTTTATGCTTTCTGTGGATATTAAAATCCATGCCAATTTATACATTAATTTTAAGGTAAAAGTTTAAGAGTGCTCACAAAAATGTTCAATTATTTTTTTTTAAGTTGGATTCCAACATGTGCCAAAGTGTTTCTGGATAAGAATGAGCTTTGGCAGCACCTAGTCCCTCCTGGTGCCGATGATTCCACAGAGCTTGTGGAGGAGTTTTTTGCCTGTGTGGCTGCCCTCATGTCAATTCAGCTCCGAAGCATGGTCATTAACTCTCTTGCAGATTTCCTCTCATTTTTTGCTATCCACAAGGTTAGTCTGATATTTTGTATATATTACATTTAGACATGTTTGCTGATTTGAAAATATCTTACAACATTAATTTAGACTTAGACAGAATTTTAAAAGAAAGAAATTTATACAATGCTCCAATCAATTGCAAGCCACTTGCAAGCTGGAATGCATAATCAGAAATAATTGTAATAATGTATATTCATCTGAAAGTAGTTTTACATTTTGATTTTTTAAAAATATGTTTCCGTTGTTAGGAGGGAAATGAATTTGGTGATGTGTTTGATGAGCTGCAGTATGTACAGACACAGATCATGATCATTAAACTGAGGGTGGAGGAGCCCAAGATCGTGTTTGACCCACCCTTCAGGGAGATTAGGGACATCATCCTTAGATGTTTCTCAGAGATCATTGCCAGTGGGGAGGGGCTCACAAGGGTAAATCTCAATTGTTGCTTGCTGATATGCTACATCTTCTTACCCTCTTATAGATGGATTTATCCCACAAAGAATGCTATGAAAGGGCCAACTAAATTGTATGACAAACGAGATGACTTTAGCTTTTCCATCGTCAACTTTCTTTATTAGTCCCCTACTGATGAAACCGGAGGGTACTATAGGTTTCCTCCTCACCTGTTCATCCGTCTGTCTGTCCATCTTATTATTTGAGTTTAAAAAAAAAAGATCTTTGAAATAAGAATCAGTTGCTGAGAAATTTGGATTGAAATGAGCAGAGGACAATACACCGTTTAGATGTTCTCATCCTGGCTCTTGAAAAAGTATTCATAGATATGCACAAGCAGTGTTGGTACCTTAATAGCAGATCTACATCACATATGTTCTTCTTTTGATAGGTTGAATGTGAACTTTTCCCAGACATGAGGTCTGCTACCCCCAAGCTTCTTCTCCGCAGTGTCAAGATAGATGAGGGTCTTGTTACAGACTATGTAGATAAAGCTATGGAAATCTTCAAGCACAATACAGTAGGACCTCAAAAGTAAGCAAAATTTTTCATCAATAATGTTATTTTTGTATAAATTTTGTGACAATTTAAAATAGATACCCAGATTTTCTAATGTTAATAAATTTTGCAAATTTTTACGGATGCAGTTAATAATATATGTATTTTTATTGTAAAATAATCTAGGTATCTGAACACATACAAGAAATACTCAGATCTGCTGAACAACAATGCAGACCAAGATGTGTCTGCTTTCCTGAGGGAGACTCACTCCATAGAGGCATTTAAAAAGGTAATATTCACTAAAAACTTCTGTTACCTCTTGAAGTACAATGTACATGAAAGATGAGTAAAGATGTGGACATATTGAGTTGAAAATCCCTAGTTTCTGACTGGCATCTTTCTTATTTGTTCACAGAAAATAAACAGTTTCCAGGACTTGAAGGATGAGATCTCATTACTAAGGATAACTGTTCCCCTCAGCATGTTCTGTCTGGACTGCCAGAACCTCAACCAGGACCTCTGTGCACGTGCTCAGAGACTCAAAGAGAGGCTCATCATATTTGAGGTGGATGAAAACAGGGAACTGAACAGAGGGTAAGGAACCTATGCAAGTCTGTACTGAACTCATAAGCCCTTTAGATGGCATTTTAAAAGGGTGAAATTTATTCTGTATCAGAGTTGTTGATTTATGTAGTATGATAAATGCATTTTTCATGCAGTTGCTTACAAATTAAAATTTTTCTTTTATGTTTCTTTTAAGAATTTGCCGTCGCTATGATGAGATGGCGGAGAAGGTCAGTGATGTTCCTGATACAACAGAGGAAATTGTGGCATTGCAGGAGTACCTCAAAACGGTAAATAGGATTAAAGGAATTGTTCATTTGTATAAAGAAATAAATAATAAATAAATAAAAACGGTAAATAGGAAACAAAAAAATTTTTTCATTTGTATAAAGAAATTGCTGTCTTGTCATCTTACATGACAAACTGATGTAATTGAGATGTTTTGCAGTCCTCTGATGTGACGGTTTACAAGCTGAAAGATGAAATTGAGGATGCTGCCAGTCGCCTTATGTTCCTCTTGGACTATGCCATCTTCCCATGTAAGTACTAAATTTTTTCCTCTTGGAGTATGCCATCTTCTCTTGTAAATACTGAATTTTTCAAGAATTCATCAGTGTAAAATTACAAATTTTTTAACAATTACATGTTTCTAAAACTTCAAGGTTATGAAAAAAATTTAAATATTTTCATAATATCACTTACAGCTGAGGATATAAAACTGAACAGCACAGTGTTCCACTGGCCAGAACACATCAAGACAGTGTTTGAACTTTCCTCCTCCCGAATTGCTAACCGTCGTGACCACATTGAGGAGGATCTTAGAAAGAGAACTGTGGCTTTTGAGGAGAAACTTAATGACTACATGAAGGAGGTGGAATCATTCAAAAAGAAAGAGGTTTGCTTTTTAATAGTAATTAAGAATATCCATTTTCTTTAATATTTTTATAAAATTGTTCTAGTTTGATGAGAGAAATAGACTGCTTTTTTGTTTCTGAAAATTTTGAAGTTAAATAGTAATTTCTGGTTTATAAAAGGTAAGATGTTGAATTTTTTTGGTAAAAAAAATGGTCTGATATTTTTTCCAGTTTTTGAGTGAAGAAGCTATGAGAAATAACACAGAACAACTGGCCACCATTAATGAGAACTTGGAGCGAGCTCGAGAGGAACTTGAACAGATCAACTTAGAAGAACAGCTTCTAGAATGGGAGCAGAGTTCCTTCCCTAACCTACAGGCCATGTTTGCTCTGAAGGAGCCATATGAGAGATTGTGGAACACAGCATACCAGTTCCACCAGAAACATGAACAATGGTTGAATGGTAAACCTGATAAATTATTTGCATATACAATCAAACCTCATTATCTCCAACTCCATGGACAGAGAAAAAAACTTAGAGATATTTGAAAATTTAAGATATTTAGGTTATAATACATAATGAAAAGTGGTTGGGACTCCCAACTTTGTCATATCCAGGGTATTCAAGGTATCCATCATTTATCACAGTTCAATTGTATTTTTAAATTGACAGTGTTAAAGATAAAGTTGAAGTCTATTTAGCCTTTATGATTGTAACTTAACAAAGTTTAGTTAGATTTGTATCTTAAATTTTTTACTTTGTTTATAGGACCATTCCAGAATCTGAATTCAGAAGAAATTGAGAGTGATGTTGGAGATATGTGGAGAACCATGTACAAGCTAACCAAACAGTTCAATGACCAGGCTGGGCCTAGACGTGTTGCTGACACAGTCAAAAATAAGGTGGATAAATTCAAACAGCACCTGCCAATTCTAAACACCATCTGCAACCCTGGTATCAGAGATAGACATTGGGAGATGGTAAGACTTTTCATAACGTAAAGAACCAGTAAATATCACAATAGAATGATGACTGAGATTTTGGGGGGAAAAAGGCACTCTTATATGAATTATTTTACAAATGGCTAAAATCAGTCAGCTGTTTTTGTTAAAGACACTTGAAAATAGACTCTGAATACTCTTTTATTCTACAGATGAGTAACATTGTCGGAACTGACATCAAACCACAAGCAGAAACCTCCCTTAATAACATGCTGGAGTTTGGTTTGGCCAAGCACCTTGCTAGGTAAGAATTCAGGAAAAAAAACCTATTCCATAAAAATGTTTCATTCTTTAAAACTGTTTTGCATTTAAATATTGTGTAAATTATAAGCTGATGATAAGTTATGGTTTAACACTGATTTTTTCTTCTGCTCAGGTTGGAGGAGATTGGAGCAGCAGCTGCCAAGGAACATTCTCTGGAGAAGGCACTGGAGAAGATGAAGTTGGAATGGAAAGACATGATGTTTGAAATGATTCCATACAGAGAAACTGTAAGTATAGTATTGAGGGGGAAAATTCGGGCACTGTTAATACAGTAAAGCCAGATTCATCAGGGAAAACATAATTAATGCATGTAAGGTTTTTTTTAATAAATTATTTCTGATAATAATTGACAACTAAGTATTGATTACCATTTTGGTTTAACCTTTTAGGGGGTGTCTATTCTGACTGCTCCAGATGACATCCAAGTGTTGTTAGATGACCACATTGTAAAGGCCCAAACAATGAGAGGGTCTCCGTTCATCAAACCATTCGAGCAGGAGATGAAGGAATGGGAGGAGAAGCTTGTCTCCATGCAGGACATCTTAGATGAATGGCTTAAGGCAGGCAATTTTATACATCTGTAGGAAGAATTGTGATTTTACACTAACTAATGGTGTCCTCTTCTCATATATTAAACATTTCTAAGGACATTTATGTATAAAAAGTAAAATACACTTTGATAAGAAAAAATTTCTATGTATACTGTTACATGTAAACAGTTTTTGATGATTCTCTTTTCACTTCTTTCTTCACATTTTCACTTCAGTGCCAGGCCACCTGGTTGTACCTAGAGCCCATTTTCAGCTCTGAGGATATCCTAGCTCAGATGCCCGAGGAGGGTCGTAAGTTTGGAATTGTGGACAGTTACTGGCGTGACATCATGACAGAGGCTGTGAAAGACACACACTGTCTCGTAGCCACAGACCAGCCTAACATGTTGGGCCGATTCCGTGATGCCAATGTTCTGCTGGAGGAAATTCAGAAGGGACTCAATGCTTACTTGGAGAAAAAACGTCTCTACTTCCCAAGGTTGGTTGTAGTAATTGGAGGAAAATGCATTTTTGACCATATATTTTATATATTTTGGAAAATGCCTTGAAATTAAACAAAAATTGGCGTTTTTACACCAGATTCTTCTTCTTGTCCAATGATGAACTGTTGGAAATTCTGTCTGAGACCAAAGATCCAATGAGAGTACAGCCTCACTTAAAGAAATGTTTTGAGGGTATCAGTCGACTCGATTTCAATGATGCACAAGAAATTCTTGGCATGGTGTCTGCTGAAAATGAAATTGTGCCATTCAATACCAAAATCATTCCAGCCAAAGCAAAGGTGAGGGACAGAGTGATGGAAAAGTGACAAGCGTAAGTAAGTAATGTAGTGTCAGTATCATTCAATGTTCTACAATAAACTTAACAGGGTATGGTGGAGAAATGGCTCCTACAGGTGGAAGATGTCATGATTAGCAGTCTCAGGAAGGTGATCATAGACTCCAACGAGGCTTACTCTAACACTCCCCGAAATCGCTGGGTCCTCGAGTGGCCCGGACAGATCGTAATCTGTGTCAGTTCTATCTACTGGACTGCTGAAGTCACAGAAGCCATGAAAAAGAAAAATGGATTGGACGTATGCCAAATTTTTATGAACTTAACATTTTATAATGAAAGGTTTATTCTAGTTAAAGTGACATGAAATGTTCCATTGCTTTTATTTTTACAAGGCTGATTTTTACGTAGAGTATATGGTAACATAATTCCTGGTATTTTATAGGATTATCTTCAAGTTTGTAATGGTCAGATTGACCAGATTGTCCAGCTGGTGAGAGGAAAGTTAGAGTCTGGACACAGGGTGACCCTGGGAGCTCTCACTGTCATAGATGTACACGGTAGGTCAACAGTCACGATCTGTAATAAATCACAACTATGGAAACAATTGAATACATGTGTCAACAAAGCTTTGATAGAATATGTAATACTGTGGTTTCCTGATTTTTTGTTGAACACCAATTTTTGTTGTTTTTTGTGGTTAAGATGGACCACTAAAACAGATGATCAATAAATTAAATTTTTTACTAATAATCAAATAAGATGAGGTTGCTATCCACATATATACAAAGCAATGGAACTGCATTTTTTCCCAAACAAGAAATTTGATCCCCTTCCTCCCCCTCCCCCCTAAAAACATGAAAGAAACCATAATACACAAAAATGCCATCGTAGAATTTCTTTCAAAGTAATGAAAATGGCTTTGAAACAAGTGATGGAATTTCTTTTGATTTACATTTTGCAGCTCGAGACACAGTAAAGGAAATGGCAGCTGCCAAAGTCTCCAACCCCAATGAGTTTATGTGGCTGGCTCAGTTACGTTACTACTGGGAAAATGATGTCATTGTTAGAATGATCACCACAGACATTAAGTACGGCTATGAGTACCTGGGAAATTCCGGGCGTCTGGTCATCACCCCCCTCACTGACAGGTGTTACAGGTAAGTTTTGTAAACAACTGAGTCGGTTCCATTTTATGTGATGCTGGTTATGGTTATTGTTATAACAGAAAGCCACTCTTAGTGCAGACTTATTGATTAACAAATGTATAAAAATGTAGACAGTAGCAAGATGCAGACTATTTTTTTGTCAAAACAAAATGAGCTACAGGCTCCTCAGAGACTTATGGTTTACAAACATACCGGTATTTAAAAGAGTAGATTAAAAATGAAAAAGATGTAATTCTCTGTTTCATAATAAAGCTTATATATTATTAAAATTGGTGCCACAGATTCATTTTTGGTTGATGTACAAATTGAATTATTGTGTTGATTTTTTTAAAAAATTTTCTTCAGAACATTGATGGGAGCCTTGAAACTGAATCTGGGTGGTGCTCCTGAGGGACCTGCCGGAACAGGGAAAACAGAGACCTGTAAAGATCTGGCCAAGGCTGTGGCTAAACAGGTAAAACAAAAATGTACAAATCATTAAATTGATGAAAATGAGATTTATTGTATAACTTTCACCTTAAATACATTTATTTTTGCCTATAAAGAAAAGAGAATTCAGTTTCCTGAACATTGACGATTTGAATACCATGATAATTTCCAAATCACTTTTTCTTGATGTATATCCAGAAATGTTTTTTTCAGCCCCATTAAGTCAAGGACAATGAGGTTTGACTGTACATGTTGTATTTTCCATTTATTTTCTCTTGAACAGTGTGTAGTATTCAACTGCTCAGATGGTCTGGATTACAAAGCCATGGGTAAATTCTTCAAGGGTCTGGCCCAGGCTGGCGCATGGGCTTGCTTCGATGAGTTCAACAGAATTGAGCTTGAGGTACTGTCTGTGGTGGCTCAGCAGATTGCCAGTATCCAGCAGGCTGTAGCAGCTAACCTGAAGCGCTTCATATTTGAGGGGACAGAACTCTCTTTAGATCCTACCTGTACACTCTTTATCACCATGAACCCTGGTTATGCTGGACGACAGGAACTTCCAGATAACCTAAAGGTCTTCAGCGCCACTCAACTTTATTCTCATATTTTTTATTATATTCTTACCTATATTCACAAAAGCTTAAAGGTGAACAACCAAAATTTTGGGGATAACCATTGTTTTCATTTACCAGTATTCCTATCAAGATGGGAATGAAATCTTACATTTTGAATTCTAAAACTTGTGTGTCTTATACAGGTCTTGTTTAGAACTGTGGCTATGATGGTTCCTGACTATGGAATGATTGGTGAAATCTCACTGTACTCCATGGGTTTCATTGATGCCAGAAGGTTTGTATTTAGAAATCTGCTTGATGCTGTTTAAAAATGTAAGGCAAAGATTTGTTTATGACTTTTATATGGGAACACTCTCGATTTAATTAAGGAATAAATTTAATAGCTACCCAATTTATATGGTTTAAAGTGGGTTGGGTCAGTTTACCCTTTATAAACCGCGAAGCGGTTTATAAAAAAGCGTAAACTGTTCCAAACCACTTTATACCATATAAATTGGGTAGCTATTAAATTCATTCCTTATAATTTAATTTTCATTCATTCAGTATAAGAAAAAAGATGATTGCCCATTAAAAATGACTTCAAATTGTACAAAATTTGAATGTAACGTCAGGCGGATCGATATGTTTTTGACGAAAATCTTTGTGACTTAGGAAACCCATTTTATACAGTCAAATTGGGCGTTACAATCAGAATTAAATTATTTCAATTTAATTCTGTCTTACTTTTCCAAAGTACTTAATTCTATTAATATAGGCATGTAGTGTGTTTCTTATCGTGAAATGCTGAAAACTAATACTTGTACTAATGTCTTACAAAATTTATTTTCTTTTCAGTTTGGCCAATAAGATTGTGGCTGTGTACAAACTGTGCTCTGAGCAGTTGTCCTCCCAGCACCACTATGACTACGGTATGAGAGCAGTCAAGTCTGTACTGACTGCAGCCGGAAACCTGAAACTTAAACAACCAGACGAAGATGAGCCTGTCCTTCTTTTGAAGGCCATTATGGATGTCAATCTGCCCAAGTTCTTGGCTCAGGTTCATTTCTTTTTATGCTTTTTTAACTTTTATCAATATCCTTTTACTTAAAATCAAAATGTTTTGTTCTTAGCTCACCTCACCTTCACCAAAGGTGTCACAGGTTAAAGTTTTTGGAACAGGTCCATTTTTTATTAGTAATTATAAGAACTACCTAAACAAACTTGTATGGTTGATGCATCTAGGGATTGACATTACCAGACTTGCTTTGTATGCTGCATCTTACATGTATCAGGAATAAATGATCAGGTTAAAGGTTTGGAAGCAGGTTCACACCTAAGTTACTTTATCCCTTACCCGGCCATACTTTCAAGGATGATGCATCTAAAGATACTTACTGAATTCCTTATTTAAAGTTCTATTTAATGTTACTCTGCTAATAAATAACTTTTGTTAAGGTGAGCTTTGAAACTAAGGTTACCTACATGTATACTTTTTTGGCATTGCACAATTGTACCCTTGGAGAGTCCTATCATTTACTGATTATTTTTTTGTTATACAGGATGTTCCCCTATTTGAGGGTATTATCTCCGACTTGTTCCCGGGAGTGGTGTGTCCCAAGCCAGACTATGGTGTATTTATGGAAGCCTTGAAAGAAAACACAAGGAAGAGAAAATTACAGTGTGTTCCATGGTTCTTAGACAAAATTATCCAGGTAATGATTCTTAACCAATTAAAGATTACTGTAAACCAACCTTTTTTTGTGTGTGCGAGAAGTATCTGTGAGTTTTGCTTTTACTCACAAATATTTCTCGATGCGAATTATTTATTTCATTGTGTATTTATGAAGAATACTGTATACAGGGAAATTTTGGCCCCCGTTTTATTTTCGCCCCTTTCGCCCTAGACACAAGTGGGCGAATTTAAGACTAGACGAATTCAAAGAAAACAATATAATTTCTTAAACAAAATTGTGACTGGGCGAAATTAAAATGAGGCAAAATTGTTTGCAAGTGTGAAAGGGTGAAAATAATACGGGGCGAAAATAACCCTGTATACAGTAATACCTCATTGATGAAAATAAGTCATTGCAGATAGATTTTAGGCTGATAAATTGCTAAATAAAAATTGTCAAGAATAATAGTTGGTTTATAGTATTTTGTTCTCAAGTTTTTTGAAGATACAATAATTCAAAAGTTTTTATTGTTAAACAAAAACAATCTTTAATATCCTTTCTCTTTCATTAGGTATATGAGATGATTCTGGTACGTCATGGTCTTATGATTGTTGGAGAGCCCTTGGGAGGAAAAACAAAGGGCTACCAGGTCCTTGCTGAGGCCCTCGGGGATCTTCAGACCTCAGGACTCTATGAGGAATTCAAAACTGTGTACCGCATCATCAACCCCAAAGCCATCACTATGGGACAGCTTTATGGATGCTTTGATCCAGTATCACATGAATGGACAGATGGTTAGTTTTCTGTGCTAAAGTATTTTGGATGCCCCTTTGTAATTTACTACTTCAACAGGGCTTAATTAGATGACCAATAACTTGAAAGTGAGGCCAGTGGGTGTAACTTTTCATATTCTTATTGACAGGTGTTTTGGCCAACACCTTCCGAGAGTATGCCAGCAATCCTAACACAGACAGGAAGTGGATTCTGTTTGATGGCCCTGTGGATGCCGTGTGGATTGAGAACATGAACACAGTACTGGATGACAACAAAAAGGTAGCTAAAATAAATTGGCAATTTTAACATGTCCATAGTAATAATTTTATGACTAAAGGTTTAATTTACTAATATGAACAAAAAAAAACTAAAAATGTTTACAACATTTTAATTAGCTCTGTCTTATGAGTGGAGAGATCATCCAAATGAGCAACAAGATGAACTTGATCTTTGAGCCAGCCGACTTGGAGCAGGCATCTCCAGCCACAGTCAGTCGCTGTGGTATGATTTATCTGGAGCCCCACCAGATGGGATGGAGGCCCTTCAAAGAGTCTTACATGCAATATGAGCTCCCCGAGCAGCTTTCTCAGGAGAACCGAGACATGGTCAATGATCTGTTTGAATGGTTGATTGATCCCTGCTTGGACTTTATTAGACATCACTGTAAGACATTTGTGAATGCCTCTGAGATGCACCTTGTTCAGTCACTGATGAGACTGTACACTTGTCTCCAGGACGAAATTCGGGCCACACTTGAGCATGTCCCAGCAGAGGGTGATGAACCTAATCCAAATGCTCTGTCAAACCAACAGGTACTCCAATAGCAATACAATATTTCTAGGTGCAAATATCTTTCTATCTTATAGGATGTTAATGAAAATTTGCCCCTTTCAGCAGTCACATTTCCAAACAATAGCAAACTCTTCCTCGAACTCAATTTTAAAAAAATGACATAAGATTTTATCCTGCTTTCAGATTACCCTATGGATGCAAGGAATGTTCTTATTCTCCCTTATCTGGACAGTGGGAGGTACCATGGATGGGGATTCTCGTAAAAAGTTTGACTCCTACTTCAGGAACATTGTCAGTGGCACAGACCCTGATCATCCTAAACCTAAGAGCTGTAAAATCTCTAAGGTATGAAAGGGTTTTTTTCCTGGAAGTTCATACAGTAAAAGGAGGTGTACATTTAAACGTAATAACACAGTACTAATATCTTGGTGACTGCCAGGTGTTTCACTATGTGATTTATTCTGTAATGCACCATTTTTGGTGTTTTTCTTTTTATGCTCCCATGATATTATCTTGAATTTATTTTTGGTACAGTCAAAAGCCTACTGTGTATAATGCTGCTATAAATAGCAAGGAAAACCTGGAAAGAGCTATAGTGTTATTTTATGATTTCTTGGTTTACAGAGTAATATGATTCCTGAGAGAGCCACCATTTTTGACTTCTGCTTTGAGAAGAAAGCTAGTGGCAACTGGTGTGATTGGATGGACACCATTGATAAGTCCACACTGGCCATTTCTCCTACAGCCAAGGTTAGTTTTGACAGGGGATGCTTATTACTCCATAGCACCTGATCCCACCTCTTGGACTTTGGCTTGCTTCTCCATATTTCAGTAGGGTAACTGAAAGTTGATAAAGGGCTGTTCAAGAATTTATTTGCATGAACACGATGCTTCAAAAATATTTAAAAAGGGGGTTGGGGGAAAGAAGGGGGATGGAAGTACATGCATAAACATCAAATTGAAAAATATCCACCTACAGTATATGAACACAGCCATCAATAAATTGAGCATACCTTACATTGATAAAACAATTTTTTTTTTATGTTTATTTATATTATGTACCCATACATTTCAGGTCAGTGAGCTGATTATCCAGACAGCTGAAACTGCTCGCCAGGTCTACTTCTTACAAACTTACCTAACACATGAACAGCCGATGTTGTTTGTGGGCCCCACTGGTACTGGAAAGTCTGCCATTACCAACAACTACCTACTGACACTTCCTAAGGATGTGTAAGTATTGATGAAAAGGCAAATTTTTTTATCATAAAAAAAAATTGAGAGAAATTAAGCCTTTTTTTTTTTAAATTTGGCACTTGCAGTAAAGGTAACCTTTTAGTAGGAAATTGGGTTTTTGCAAATTCACCATGGGGCAAATCCTTTCTGAATGAAAATTATAAGATGGGAGCTGGAAAATTTGTCTGAATGTTGTAGATAGATATTGATGGTACATGTCACAAAAAGATTTAATTCATAGATATTAAAAACAGCATTTGTACAAGTTTTATATTTCTTTTGTAGATATATTCCTAACTGCATCAACTTCTCGGCTCGAACCTCAGCCAACCAGACACAAGGCATCATCATGTCCAAGTTAGACAGGTAATGTACAGGTCGTTTTTCAAGGGAATTAACTTGAAATATTCAAACAGAAATTATTAATTGAGCAATTAAGTGATAACATTTTAAATAATGTCACACTTATTTGTTTTCCTTTGCATTTCATCTTGATTCCTTTCTCAGATTCAAGTGTGTCTTTTTATGGTGAATTCCTAATTATACTCCATAACATTTTGAAATTTAATCCAAATAATGACATAAAAACTTTATAATCTTGATCAGGAGGAGAAAGGGGGTGTATGGCCCTCCCATGGGGAAGAAGTCTGTGGTGTTTGTGGATGACCTAAACATGCCTGCTAAAGAGAAGTATGGTGCCCAGCCCCCTATAGAACTGCTGAGGCAGTGGTTAGACCACACCCATTGGTATGATCCCAAGGACACTACTAAACTCTTCCTCACTGATGTGGTAAGTGTTGTATGGAAAGGGATGTTGTTTAAATGGAAAGAAGACACTTTGTATGTGTAGAGTGGAATTGATAGTATTGCAAGAGCAGAAAATACTAAATTGAGTATATTTGATTCACAAAGAATTTAATATTTCAATTCAGTATTAAAATTTTTTTGTGGCTGAAATTTGATGTAGTCTGTCTTGTGATTTTCAATTTTTAGTCATTGATTCCAGGGAATGTACATTAATAAGTAAAAATTTAAAAAAAATTATTTTTATATATCAACTGTATATAAAAATGAATTTTCCACTGTTTGAATTGAATTTTTACAGAGACAAATTTGTACATTTTCAGCTGTTTGTATCAGCTATGGGACCTCCTGGAGGAGGGAGAAATGACATCACAAGTCGTTTCACTCGTCACCTCAACATGGTCTCCATTGATGAATTTGATGATGCTACCCTGACTAGAATCTTCACCAACATTACTGACTGGCACTTTGGAAAGGGATTTGAAGGATCTTTTGTCAGAAATGGAAAGGTAAACTGCTCTTAGTATTGATTTTTTCCTTGAAAAAGTTCATGAATTATGAAATACTTGTATATAAAAAAAAGAATTCCAACTAAAAGATAGACTTATTAAAATCTTGATATAACTGTGAGTGAAGGTTGGAACATTTGAGCCCCATTGAAATTTGTCTAGTCAGTACGAAGGCTGTTAGTTTGGCCTCTGACTCATTGGCCCAAACTTCTTGACACTTTAGCCCACTGATTTATTTTGTTTAGCCAAAAACAGTGCAGCCAAAATTATATAATGTACTTTGGCTGAAGTGTCATGGGACCAAACTAGTGTGAGTATACATGACATGAGAAAAATGATTGCTTTATCAACAGAGGAACATTTATTTTATTTGCAGTTACTTGTGGCAGCCACTATGGCAGTTTATAAAGATGCCGTGGCAAGCTTCTTGCCAACTCCCACAAAGAGTCACTATGTGTTTAACTTGAGAGACTTTGCTCGTGTGATTCGTGGAGTGTTGTTGGTGCCTCATGAAAAGATGTCCGAGATAGATAAATTACACAGACTTTGGGTTCACGAGGTTTACAGGGTATTCTATGATCGTCTCATTGATAAACAAGATAGGTTAGTCACATCACTTTTTTAATCTTTATACATTCTCTCTTTATATAAAGATACCATTTGCTACCACAATTTTAATAATTATACATTGTACCTAAAGAGAATGTGTATTGCCATGACTTTTTATTTTTCCAAAAAAGCAATAAACAACAATGATTTTATAAATGTGATAAGAGATTTTTGCTAGAGAAAAGGTATTTTGATCATTGATACAGAACTGAACTCTGTATATTTTTTTTTAATTGATTCAATCATTATTTTAATTATTTTATTTCAGGGACACATTCTTCCAAATAGTGAAGGAGCAGTGTTCTAACCATTTTAAGGCCAACATAGATAAGATATTGGGTCACTTGTCTAAGAGTGGCTCGGTGGTTGATGATAATGTCCGTAGTTTATTTTTCGGTGATTACATGACAGCAGAAGGAGCCAAGGTTTATGATGAAATCACAGATTTTAAAGAACTCTCAACTGCAATGGAGAAGTAATCCTAATTTAAATTTTTTTTTACACCCTTCTCAATTCAAGAATGATTTTTTTTTTCAAATTTGTTTTGAATGCTGCATTGTGACAAAGTGTTGTCATTATTTATTTGTTGTAAGATCAGAAAATGAGCTTGTTACCCAAGCATGAATTGTGTACAGTATTTATTATCGTTTTCATAAAGGTCACTTTGTATGTTTTACTGTAAATTTCACTGACACGCCCCTTTCATGTTTTGCACAGTTATTTGGATGAGTACAATTTGGTCAGTAAAGCTCCCATGAAACTTGTAATGTTCAAGTTTGCCATTGAACATATTTCTCGAGTCAGTCGTGTTTTACTGCAAGACAATGGACATTGTTTACTTGTTGGTAAGTGCCCTGTATATGTTAGGTAAAAAAGTCATCCATGTGTTTGAATTGTGGTGATTTCAAAAAGAGATCTTGTTGAAGCATTCAACTATAAATGTCATAAAAATGCAATGGACAGTGTTGTTTCATCAAATTGTAGGAATTTCTCAATTATTTTTATAAACGTGAATTTTTATTTTTTTTACACATTCTGGAGTTTGATTTGTGATACACATACAGAAAAATGAACATTATATAATGCAATTTTTTTTTAAATTTTGTTGAATTGATTAAAATTAAAATGACTAACCAATCATTATTATGGATTGATTTATATGACCTTTGAACTCCAGGTATTGGAGGAAGTGGAAGACAGAGTGCTGCCAAGTTAGCAACATTTATGGCTGATTATGATCTGTTCCAAATTGAAATTACTAAAAATTATACTACAAATGAATGGAGAGAAGATTTGAAAAGGGTAAGTTTGCATTATACTTATGAATTACTTGTAAAACCTGCATACATAAAAATTTACGAGGTCACTGAAGACATTAATGAAACTTTTGATTCTTGTGCTTTGTGAAAGTTCATTAGGCTAGAAAATTATGATATTTTTTGATCTGTACCAAATGAACATACTGTATACAGAGTAATTTTTGCCTGTATTATTTTTCACGTGAACAATTTTGCTGGGTTTTAAATTTTCTCAGACACAGCTGTGTTTAAAGAAATCTGACTCTGTTAAATTTGCCCTGAACTGATGACAAGGGTAAAAAGGGAAAAAAGTAAAACAAGGGCAAAAATTTCCCTGCAAACAGTTTTTAGCTCTACTGGTCAGAGACCAGAAGAGCTTATGCGATAGTAAGGTGTCCGTCGTCCGTCCGTCTGTCTGTCTGTCTGTCTGTCCGTCTGTCTGTAAACAATTTTTCAAAACGCTACTCCTCCTACACTTTTGGTCCGATTTCAATATAACTTGGCACACAAGTAGACTACACTAAGATACATAATTTAGTGCATCGGTTTTTGATTTCGATGGACGGTGTTGCCATGGTTACTAAAAATAGAAATTTCTGTGAAATTCCTTTAAAACGCTACTCCTCCTACAGTTTTGGTCCAATTTCAATATAACTTGGCACACAAGTAGACTACACTAAGATACATAATTTAGTGCATCGGTTTTTGATTTCGATGGACGGTGTTGCCATGGTTACTAAAAATAGAAATTTCTGTGAAATTCCTTTAAAAACGCTACTCCTACAGTTTTGGTCTGATTTCAATATAACTTGGCACACAAGTAGACTACACTAAGATACATAATTTAGTGCATCGGTTTTTGATTTCGATGGACGGTGTTGCCATGGTTACTAAAAATAGAAATTTCTGTGAAATTCCTTTAAAACGCTACTCCTCCTACAGTTTTGGTCTGATTTCAATATAACTTGGCACACAAATAGACTACACTAAGATACATAATTTAGTGCATCGGTTTTTGATTTCGATGGACGGTGTTGCCATGGTCACTAAAAATAGAAATTTCTGTGAAATTCCTTTAAAACGCTACTCCTCCTACAGTTTTGGTTCGATTTCAATATAACTTGGCACACAAATAGACTACACTAAGATACATAATTAAGTGCATCGGTTTTTGATTTCGATGGAAGGTGTTGCCATGGTTACTAAAAATAGAAATTTCTGTGAAATTCCTTTAAAAAGCTACTCCTCCTACAGTTTTGGTCCGATTTCAATATAACTTGGCACACAAGTAGACTACACTAAGATATATAATTTATTGCATCGGTTTTTGAATTCAATGGACGGTGTTGCCATGGTTACTAAAAATAGAAATTTCTGTGAAATTCCTTTAAAACGCTACTCCTCCTACAGTTTTGGTCCGATTTCAATATAACTTGGCACACAAGTACACTACACTAAGATGCATAATTTATTGCATCGGTTTTTGATTTCGATGGACGGTGTTGCCATGGTTACTAAAAATAGAAATTTCTGTGAAATTCCTTTAAAACACTACTCCTCCTACAGTTTTAGTCTGCTTCTAATATAATTAGGCATACAAGAAGACTATACTAAGATACATAATTTATTGCATTGGTTTTTGAATTCGATGAACAGTGTTGCTATGGTTACTTAAAATAGAAATTTCTGTGAAATTCCTTTAAAACGTTACTCCTCCTACAATTTTGGTCTGATTTCAATCTAATTTGGCACACAGTTAGAATACACTACGATACATAATATGTATTTCTGTTTTTTTTATTTGGGTGAATGGTGTTGTCATGGTTACCGGTACTAAAAATAGAAATTTCCGTGAAATACTTTCAAAACGCTACTCCTCCTAGTTTTCATTTGATTTCAATATAACTTGTCACAAAAGTAGACTACATTAAGATACATAATTCTATTTATTGTTGCATGTTGCAATGTTTCAAATCCAAGTGCTACTTTTCTTTTGTTATACAAACAGACCAGTAGAGCTACAGTCTCATCAGAGACTTCTGGTTTAAGAGAGATTTTTAAAAATTCACAACCATTTAAATTTCAGCTTCTGATGAAGGCAGGAAGTGAAGGCAAGCCTATTGTATTCCTGTTTGCTGACACACAGATAAAATCTGAGTCCTTCATGGAGGACATAAGTATGATTCTAAACACGGGAGATGTCCCAAATCTGTTTGCTGCTGATGAGAAGGCAGACCTTATTGAGAAAATGCAGGCTATTGCGCGTAATGAGGTATGTAAAACATTAGTATTTTGTTTGATGTTAAAGTGTTTTGCATTTGAGTATTTGAAAGTGTTCTGGCAGAATGTTTCGATTAAACTAACAGTGTGCAATATTTGGTGAGTTAGTTTTGAAGTTGGAAAGAAAAAAACAGCCATACTTGTTGATATTGAATTTAAGAAAAAATATCAGAAATTTGTACATGTACTCTTTGTGTCACAAAAAAACTGGCAAATCAAGGGAATGTTTTTATGCATGCACAATATTGTTGTGTATTTATTTAACTGACTCCAAAATATTTTTATGAAATTTGTATCTAATAATAGGACTTCTCATGATTTATGTCTCAATGGTCAATTACTTCAGTTTTCCACAACTGTATTTGTATTTATGAGTTGAGTTGCTGTTGTATACAGTTGTATGTAAATTAATTAATTAACATTTGTGTGATTTAATTTGTAGTTTTAGTTGGTGTTTATAAATGAATTGCTTCACTTTGAATGTCTTGCTTTTGTTAAACAGGAAAAGATAACGGTAAGGTTACCATAGTAACCTAAATAGCACAATATATATATTAGCTAGTACATTTTACATTTGTAATGGTTATACTCTGACTTTATAAACATTAGAACTGTTTACTGTAAAATATTTCTCATGCATAAACAATTATGTGTTCATAGACTGTAAACTTAATTCTGCCAAGACTGAACAAAGAAAGAGATTCATATAAGACCCATATTTGACCATGTAAAATTGTTTCACTGAATATAATGACCAAAATACCAACTCGACCCATGATGGCTTATAAGTAATAAAAGTGACATAATTGTTTGATGGTCTCTGGATTATGATGTCAAAACTTTCTCTGCATAATGATGTCATAAATTGTACCAATTTTTGTCCCTAATTCATGTAAACTTCCATGTAAATAGCCAATACTCTTAACATACTATTCATACCCTCATCCAGTAATTTTATGTGAATATACTGTATTAATTGATAGAATTGTGACAGATAAATTTCTTAAGAAGAATATTTTGGTCCTTTTTATTAAATATTGGTTGAATGCTGAATATATAACCTGACAAGACCATTTGTAATTATAAAATAAACCATTATTACTCTTTTCCCCTCAATCCACCACATAAAGCCCCTTTTCTGATGAAAGTTGAAGCATTTCTTTTTCAGGTTCCCACTGTCAAATTTTCACAAAACTCCACATGCTACAAATTGCATACATTTATATTCTCACTTAAAACAAAACTAAAAACACCATATCCTTGGTGGTTGAGTTTCTTTATCAAACATGCATGTTTAAATGTCAGACTTTCAGCCTTTACATTATATCATTCCATATCTGATTTCTCTACTTCTACCACTTATTACTGGGTAATTGACTTTTACTTATGAATAAACAATTTTACTAAATTTTTTTGTATGGCTACTGGAATTTTAATTTGTTAACCATTTTCTCCCTGTCATTAGAAAATTATGAATATTTGTTTATTTTCGATAAAATTTGGTTTCTTAATTTTGTATATATTTGTCCTTGTACAAAAGTAAATGGCAGTAGAAGTTTGGTTTCGCATTTGTTGTACCTTAATTTTCTGACGTAGCAAGATATCTCAAATCTATGAAAGTCTAAAACCAAACTGCATTTTTTAATAAGTTTCTTGTATAAGATAATCAAATGGTAAAATTTTAATTCATTTTACATGACTTGTACTAACTAGCTGTTTGCAAAACCATATGCATGTCCAGCTTATTTGTTATAATAACACACACACATGCTCAGGCTTATAATGATTTGCAGCATGTACCAGTATATATCATATTGCACTTTTAAGTTCTCTATTTTTTTTTCTAAATAAATAAGTTGTATCCCTTTTTTCATACTGGTATTCTAACTCTAATTAGCAATTAACTGTCAATGAATATTTAAAATCCAACAGGGTAAGAAAATGGATGCCACACCTTTGACAATGTACAACTACTTTATTGATCGAGTGCGACAGAACCTCCATATTATTCTGGCAATGTCCCCCATTGGTGATGCCTTCAGAAACAGACTACGTATGTTCCCCTCCCTCATCAATTGCTGTACCATTGATTGGTTCCAGGTAAGTCCTCATATTTTTTCCCTGTAACTTAAATGGAGGAAATATGTGTAATGTTGAAATGATTCTATGCATGCATAATGAATAATTGTCCTGTCATGGTGCGACTCAAGGGAATATGATCTGAGGTGTCCTCAAGTATTTTTTATTATACTATGAATTAAATTTTATTTACAACTGTTTTTTTTTTTTTTTTTTACATGATTGTCTCTCATCTTTGCAAGCCATCCGTTTTCAATCCACTTTGCTCCCTGCAAACTGAGAGCAGAGTGGATCAAAAACTCTTGGCTTGCAAAGATGGATTGTGTTTTGTGCACAAATATAATATTTCTTTAATGAAGATGGGAAGTAACTCTAATTGTCTTACAATGTTAAGTAGAAACTATTGAAAATAATTGTAGTACATGATAACTTAATTTTGTTCCAAAAATAATATAAAAATTAAAAGAGAGCTGCTCTTCAAGAATTGCTGTGAAACTTTAAATATGTGATTATTAAAATTTGTGTAGTTTGATCATATTTATGTCACCAACGATCCTATATTCCTTGTTAGTATTTTCTGACTTTCATAAAATTCGTTCATTTATGAAAAAGTTGCATATTTGTAGGTGACAAGATAAAGGATATCAGATATTAATGTTCTCCTATCCTTTGTAGAGTTGGCCCTCGGATGCTTTGGAAATGGTGGCTAATAAATTCTTGGAGGAAGTTGAACTAGAGGACAATATACGTAAGGAAAGTGTGTCCATGTGTAAACATTTCCACGAGAGTGTTCAGGAACTTTCCATAGGGTATGTACTTATTTGTATGAAGGTCTCAAAACTTCTGCAGAAACTTATTTTTACATAATCTGGCTAAAAATTCTTGGGAAAATACATCATTTTCTTTTTTTATTTTGGTGATTTATTATCAACATCAATTTCTGTTCTTGAGTCTAATTTACATATGAATGTATTTTGAAGGTGATTGAAATTAGGACAAAAAAATCCAGTAAAATGATCTTTTCCTTCTTTCAGATTCTTTGAAATGTTAAGGAGACACAATTATGTTACTCCAACATCATATCTAGAGCTTATCATGACATTTAAGTCCCTGTTGGGTGTTAAACGTGACGAGATCCAAACCCTCAGGAACAGGTACCTGACTGGTTTGGAGAAGCTGGAGTTTGCAGCTTCTCAGGTGTCAATAATGCAGGAAGAACTACAAGCCCTACAGCCAGAACTAATCAAGACGTCCGCAGAAACCGAGAAACTAATGATAAAAATAGAACAGGATACGGTGGAGGTAGAAGCCAAGAAGGAAGTGGTGGCGGCTGATGAGGCGGTGGCAAATGAAGCTGCCGCAGCTGCTCAGGCCATCAAGGATGATTGTGAGAGTGAGCTGGCGGAAGCCATTCCAGCATTAGAAGCAGCCATTCAGGCTTTGAACACACTGAAACCTGCTGATATCACATTGGTCAAATCTATGAAGGTAAATCTTTTGTTACCTATTCACTGCTGTTGTCTTACAAAGTATTTTCTTCTTGCTTTCGTTGCTTTTATTTTCTGCTAGTAGGATTTTGAAATGGGCAATGCACTTATCAGTAGATGGTTTTCTTTTTTAAACATTTGACTCTTGCTACTAGTAATTAAAAATTGTTCTATTCTAGAATCCCCCAGCCCCTGTAAAGCTTGTGATGGAATCTATTTGTGTCATGCTGGGTATAAAGTCAGAGAGGAAACCTGATGGCACAGGAAAAATGATTGAGGACTACTGGGGACCATCTCAGAAGTTGCTTGGTGACCTGAAGTTCCTTGATCGACTCAAAGGTTATGACAAAGACAACATACCTGTCCCCATCATCAAAAAGATCCGAGAGAAGTAAGTGTCTTCCCCCCTCCCCCCCCCCCCCCCAAATTGTGGATTTTTAAATTTTTATCATATGTAACAAAAATAAAAATGCAATTTTATCTTTCAGGTACATCACTAATCCTGATTTTGATCCAGTTCTGATTAAGAATGCCTCCACTGCCTGTGAAGGTCTCTGTAAATGGGTCAAGGCTATGGACATTTATGACAAAGTTGCCAAGGTGGTGGCTCCAAAGAAGATCAAGCTGGCAGAAGCTGAGGGAGAACTAGCCGTTCAAATGCAGAAACTGGACGAGAAAAGAGCTCAGCTGAAGGAGGTATGATGTATTTCCTTGCTTGTATATCTTTGAGCTTAATTTATTGCACTGAATAGATCAGTATTATCCAGTGAGTTTTTAATCTTTTCATAACCCTCTTTAATGAATCCATTTTGCAATCACATATTGCCTAAAAAAAAAAACGTAAAGCAAGTCATTCAATATTATACACAAAGTTGCAATAGTCATTATTTTCATCTTTGACAACTATGTACCATTAATAGGTCACAGACAAGCTACAGGCTCTTAATGATGAGTTTGAAGCAATGACTCAGAAGAAGAAGGAGTTGGAGACCAATATCGATATCTGTGAGAAGAAATTAGATCGTGCCGAGAAGCTGATTGGTGGACTAGGAGGTGAGAAGGACAGATGGACAGAGGCTGCCCGTCTCTTGGGAGAGAGATTCACTAACATCACAGGGGATGTGCTGCTGTCGTCTGCTACTGTTGCTTATCTAGGAGCTTTTACCATCGACTTCAGACAGGTGTGTGTAGCGGCAAAGCTGGAAAAAAGCACAAAAACACAAAATGATTAAAAGTTTTAAAAAAAAGTTTTTCATTATAAATTTTTTATCTGATGATTCCAAAAGGAAAAGCAATGTTGAAATTTTACTTTTATCAATGCATGGGCACATAGTCATATGTATGTGTGGCAAGATGGATTACAGTCGGCCTTTTAGAATATTATAGGTCTTCAAGTGACAGTGTGAGTGATACCATACTTTTGATTCCAGGACATTGTCAGAGATTGGCACAAACTGAGCATCAAGAAAGAAATCCCATGCTCTGAGAACTTCTCCCTCAATGGAACACTTGGAGAACCAGTCAAGATCCGAGCCTGGAACATTGCTGGTCTGCCTGTAGATGCCTTCAGTGTGGACAATGGTATCATTGTCAATAGCTCCAGAAGGTGGCCTCTCATGATTGATCCACAGGGTATGAACACTATACATATAATTATACTGCTACAAATACTGCTTGATACTACATCATGATGTTTTATTATTTGACTGTTGAATTCTACTATTGTCATACATACATGTTACCATGGACTAGTTTAGAAACATATTCACAGAATTAAAGTTTATAGACCAATGTGCATTTGTTTAGTTATTATGTAAAGAGCAAAAGAAGAGATCAAAATGTGAACAAATTTGAATTTTTGTTTTTTTTGAATATCATTAGGTCAGGCCAACAAATGGGTGAAAAACATGGAGCGTAATAACAAGCTAGGAATCATCAAGCTCTCCGATGCCAACTATCTCCGTACTATGGAGAACTCCATTCAGTTCGGTACGCCAGTCCTGCTAGAGAATGTTGGAGAGGAACTTGATCCCATTCTGGATCCAATCCTCCAGAAGCTGACTTTCAGACAACAGGGTGTGGACTATATCAGGCTAGGAGACAATGTGATAGAGTACTCCAAGGATTTCAAGCTGTATATCACTACCAGCTACAGGAATCCCCATTACCTGCCAGAAATCTCCGTCAAGGTGAGATATTTCTGAAGATGAAGTCCATGCATGACAATTTCTGTTCTTTCATAGAAATCATTCTGCTGGAAGGATTAAAGGTGGGGTTTAAAAATCTCAGTGGATACATTAATTTAATACCATTAGCACTGATTTACAGTACCGATACTAATTTTTAAGACACAATAAACAAGTAGGCTGCAATTTAATTACCTCTTTTCTGTAAAAATCATAATAAAAAAAAATGAAAACACAAAAGTTATTTTTGCATGAATACATTCATTAAATACATTTTCCATGTGTTTTTGACAGGTGTGCTTAGTGAACTTCATGATCACCCCACAAGGTTTAGAGGACCAGCTCCTGGGTATTGTAGCTGCTAAAGAGAAACCAGAACTTGAAGAAAAGAAAAATCAACTGATTTTGGAAAGTGCTGAGAATCAGAAGAAACTCAAGGAAATTGAGGACAAAATTCTAGAAGTCCTGTCCAGTTCAGAGGTAAATTTTCAGAAACTTTGATGCAGCAAATGAAAAAGTAATTTTTTTTTTTTAATTTTAAAACTTTTTGCATCAGAGTTGTAAAGTAAGAGGAAAGTGCTTAACCTTGATAATGAATTTAAATATCACTTATTTTAGGGGAATATTCTGGAAGATGAAACAGCCATTAAAATCCTGTCCTCTTCCAAAATCCTGTCAGAGGAGATTTCTGCCAAGCAGGACATTGCTCTACAGACAGAGAAGGAAATTGATGAGACGAGGAATGGCTATAAACCAGTGGCTATCCATTCCTCCATTCTCTTCTTCTGCATCTCTGACCTGGCCAACATTGAGCCCATGTACCAGTATTCCCTAACATGGTTCATCAACCTGTATTTACAGGTAAGTCACATGATCTCAACTTGTATTTATATGAATGTCCCATGATCTCACTTGTATTTACATGAATGTCACATGATCTCAACCTCATCTTACAATAAGTCACATCATAAAGAGCAAGGTGCACCGTCTCACAGTTTTTATAGTTACGAATTCAGCTAGATTACAGTGGATTTGAATCCTCTACTCAGCAAGTACTTAATTCATAAAAGACAGCCATTTTTGAATTTTTTTTTCTCCTTTACTTTCAGTCCATTCAAAACAGTGCTCCCTCGGATGACTTGGAGGAAAGAATCTTCAACCTAAACGATGACTTCACCAACAGTATCTATAGAAATGTGTGTCGCTCACTGTTTGAGAAGGACAAGCTTCTCTTCTCCTTTGTCCTGTGTATTGGCATCCTCAAGGGACAGTAAGTATTTGTACTAAGATTTTGGGCAATTACTGATTATGGCTTGTACCCTTCCACAATTTAATTGCCCTCCTCCTCAAGTATTCTAACATGTTTATTTGCATATTATAAATGAAAATTTTAAGTATGTAAATTGTTCTGTTAAAACTATAAAACAGAAGATTTGAATATTATTGCATTGCATATTGGATATCTATGCCTCCTTTAAATATATGCTGATCTTTAGCTTATTGCTATGCAAATTTTACCGTGAATTAATTTTCAATACAAATGTTATTCAAGCTTTCATATCTCCAAATACAAAATGCAATTTTATTTTGCATAATATTGATATATTCCTTGCTATCAATATACCCCTTACAACAAAGTTGAATAAATTAGACTGGAATCGCTGTTTTGCCGTCTGTCTGTATGACTGTAAACCAAACCAAAACTAATCACAATGCATTTTTGAATGCTTAATATTGGATGCTGTATCTGACCTATATTAGATGCTATGTGTGACCTACTTTTTAGACTTCAATGACTATGAAAAAAGGCAGCAGCAAACTCATCTCCAGCTTTTCATCTTGAAAAACCTTTAATAATTTGGTTGATCTACAATGTTTTAATGTTTTTGTTTATTCAGTAAAATGAAAATTTAATATACATGTACTGTGTTTTGATTGTGTCCTTGTGGGGGTTTTAGTCACATTAGGACAACTCCACAACTCCAGTTATAGATATTTATACACTTATAAAATACCATCTTGTCCTGCATTGCTTGTGTGTATGTGTAGAGTAGAATCAAATATACAGTATTAACAACCAATTTTTGAATTATTGCATCATTAGATATCTCAAGGATCCACGGTAAGTTTGAGTAGATGTCAGGTGTAGAACTATGTAACCAGAGCTCATGATCAGTGGTAATGACAGTAGGTTTTTACTCATATAACATACAGACAGTGGGTTCAAACAAATTCTCAAACATTAGGTTTATGCCATGCAGATGCCTGAGAGCAGCTATAAGGCAGAGTTTAGAACTATAGGTGTGAAATATCGAAGGATACATCAGTATCATCAAGAATTGTGATGTACACAGCTTACTTGTCAATTGACTCGATTCATGATACACGAATCATACATTTTCCATTTGAGATAGCTTGTAGTGTTCAGATTATAATCTGCCATTTCAGTTGACATATGCTAAAGCTTATATGCTTGCATTAATTGACAAATGCTTCCCAAGAGCTAACTTTAAGAGTAAAAAAAATTTTGATGGTATTGTATGCTATATATAAATACTTGGCATATTAGTTACAACAGCTTTGATTAAATTTTTAAACACATCCATTGTGACATTTACAAAAGATAAAATACATAGACCAGCATTACTCTAGAAATGCTTTTAAATGCAGCAAGAAAGGTGGTGGGGTTAGATGAGATAATAGAAAATATATTTCTTGACGTTAATAGATGAGGGATAACTTGCTATGAAACTTTGGTTTAGTAGATAACTTATTCATCTTTCCCCCCAGCATGTTGTAGCAAAAGAAATACATATTCAGTGTATTTAGAATATATAATCTTTTTTATGATGACTGTTTCAATATGTCTAATTTATTTTAATTCAGTGTATTTTTAAGTTTTTATTTACTGAACAAAATTAGCAACATGTATCTATCTGTATATATCTGCATGTCTAACTTTTCTTTCTCTTTTCTCTCTCTCTCTTTACTCATCTGTCTGTCTTTCTTTCCATCATGTGACAGAGTGTTCTTCCCATGTGGTTCACTGTAAGTCATTTTCACTCATAATGTTCAAATTTCTTATTTATAGTTTACTGTTAGTGTTAAGTTTAAAATTTAGTTGATCATGGACAGGAAATATGCATACATGTACAGTGTAACGTGTTTAATCCAGATGGTGTGTATTTCTAAATCTTGCCTAATACAAAGTAAACATTAAGTCCCTTTCAGTAAATTCAGTTGTTTAAAATGTTGTATAATCTGGGATGTTGTCTAATCTGGCCAATTTGTATGGAACCAGTGGTGTCTGGATTAGACAAGTTTTACTATACTTCATAATGATCTGTACTTCATAAATCAAGGATACTAGTGCAGTAAAACATACAAGCAAAGTGCCAGAGATGAACGATTTTGATTTATTAAAACATAATTCATTATATCCAATAAGTGTATAATGCACTTTTTAAAACTATAAGAAAAGAAAATCACTTCGCTGTAAGCATGAATTCATTTTAAGCATGCTTGTTGTATTCATGTTTTACTGTATTTTGAAATTTCACATCACAGAAATATCTATTCTGCACATTTGAAAAAAGAAAATGAAAGTTATAAATTGTATGTTTTATCCTTTATATGAAACAAGAAAATGCATGTTTCCTGTTCAAATCAAAAGCAATCGTTCATGTGTTACTCATTTCTCTTAAATTAGAATCTTTGAAACTGTATTTATGATTCCTTTCATATCTGCAGATATTTAGTCTTAAAAAGAGTATGGCATATATTAATTCATATTCTCATTAAAATCATTTCACTTCCATTTTGATCCCCTGAACACAGTGCTCACTGTTTGTCCTGATTTGTAGGCTTAGAGTAGATGAAGATGTATGGAGGTTCCTGCTGACAGGGGGTGTGGCTCTAGAAAATCCTCACCCTAACCCGGCACCAGAGTGGCTGACAGAGAAGTCATGGGGTGAAATTGTCAGGGCCTCAAATCTACCAAACCTCAAAGGACTATGGGAACGTAAGTTTTTTCTGCTGACTTTCAAGTTTGTTTTAGGCAGTGCTTGTATTGTGAAACGACATTGTAATGTGCATTCGATAGAATCATATTCACTTTAACTTATTTATTTATTTATTTGTTCTTTTTTTCCTTTTTTTGTTAAGATTTATGAGTATTTACTATTTTACCTATTAAAAAAAATCAGTTTTAAGGAAGTCACATGAACTTCAATTTTTGCCTCCTTATCACCAAAATTCTTTATATCCATATAAGGAACATAATGCAAAGTCTTTTACAGGATTCATAAAAGTTTCCTTGTAACCAAGATTTTCTTATAAGCAGGATCCTTATGAGCAAGTTTTACTGCAGTTGATTGCAGCCAAAGAATGATATTCAAGATATTTCTCCCTGTTGTTTGACTCTAGATGTCAGAGACAATGTCAGTGAATGGAAGAAGATGTATGATTCCCTGACCCCCCAGGATCACAAATATCCCTCGCCATACGATGTCCTGGTGGGTCTAGATAAAATGGTAGTCCTCAGGGTGTTCAGACCAGACAAGGTCATCCCAGCTGTTCAGGACTTCATTGTGGACAATTTGGGACAGTCCTACATTGAACCTCCGACCTTTGACCTGCCAGGGTCATTTGCTGATTCCAACTGCTGTGCACCACTGATTTTTGTCTTGTCACCTGGAGCTGATCCTATGGCTGCTCTGTTGAAGTTTGGTGAGGATCGGGGATTGTCTCGAGCAGAAAACACTATCCAGTCCATCTCTCTAGGTCAAGGACAGGTCAGTTTGAGGTTAAGAAAGGTCAATGATTTATGTTTTCTTAAAGTTCATAATGTATGTAGTTCTTATTGATTGATATTCTTTGCTTTGTATTTAGGGTCCTATTGCTGCCAAGATGATTGAAAAGGCCATTGTAGATGGTACATGGGTGGTACTACAGAACTGTCACTTGGCAACAAGCTGGATGCCCAAACTGGAGAAAATCTGTGAGGAGGTGAGTGATTTTGGATAAGATCTTTATTTTAACATCTGTTACTTTAAGATTAGGGATTCAGATATCATTGTCTGTTTGAATTTCATCAATTTGTTTTGTTCACAGGTTATTATTCCAGAGGCGACTCATGAGCGATTCCGACTGTGGTTAACAAGTTATCCAAGTGACCAGTTCCCAGTATCTATTCTCCAGAATGGTAAGGCCTAACATTTAGATTTTTATATTAAATTCCTACTCAATTCGGTTCAACGGTGTAAACTGAGAAATGTAACTGGTCTGAATTTAAAAGATCAATTCACTCAAAACTAGTTTAATTCATGTTACATTGTACCAGCAGAATTCAAATTGGAGCAAAATTTAGTTTTTTAGCAAATCAAATTTCTCACTATATGATTGATTTCATTTAATGTTACCTGTGATATTGTTTCTTCCTCTAGGTGTGAAAATGACCAATGAACCTCCCAAAGGGCTGAGGGCCAATTTGCTGAGATCCTACCTAAATGACCCAATTTCTGACCCATCTTTCTTTGATGGTTGTAACAAGGTATTCTAAGCTTACGTATTAGATTTTTTTTAATCACATACATGTATATATCTAATATAATTTTCTTATTTCTCTACTGCATATTTATATTTTATGCTAAAATGTTATTATCTCTTTGCAGCCTAAGAAATTCCACAAGATGTTATTTGGTCTCTGCTTTTTCCATGCCTTGGTACAGGAGAGAAGGAAATTTGGCCCCTTAGGATGGAACATTCCTTACGAATTCAACGAGTCTGATCTTCGTATCAGTTTACGTCAGATGTTGGTATGTAGTTAAGGACAGTTTTTAGATCTGAACTTTTTTCATACAGAGTTGTCTCTCTTGAGCTGTGGGCATGCAAGCAAGTTTATTGATCTATGACACATGGACACTTGTCTGAAAGGAGCCATAAATATATATGAGCTATGTCCACAGAAGAGCTGGCAGTAATGGTCTTGAACAGTGTCATAAATTTTCTGTCAAAACTTGTGAAGTAATCAAACCTTACAGGAAAAAAAAAATTTTGAATCATAGGTTAGAGGCATATAGCCAGTATTGTAAATTTACCGGGTATATAGTCAGTAATGTTAAGTTGCTTCAAAATAAAGCAGTAAAAAAAAAATGTTAAGTTATTGATTAGAAGTACATGTATATTTAATAGTAATGAGTAGTACAAAATTATGAATTAAGAGTTGTCAAAAGTATTGCCATATATGAAATGGTCACTAAAATTTATTAGTGATTATTAGGTATTTTGGTACATACAACGTAATGTACTTGAATACAAAATTACATTTATTTCCCTTCAGTCAGTTCATGCATTTAGCTTGTGGAATGAATTTATGAAATGTCAGATGAAAATAAATTTGATATTACAACCACTTATTAACAATTTGCAATTTAAATTTTTCACCAAATGACAAGTGCAGTCGGTACGGAAATTCAGTCTGTATTAATTGTTAAAACATGTGCCTTCAGGGGCTTAGGACAATGTTACTGTGTTAAGAATGGCTTGATAAAACCCTCAGGTGAATAATATTTCAACTGTACCTTAGGAGACGTGTTAACTTAAAGATAATGTTGGCAAGTCTGATGTCATTATACAACCAAGGACCCCTAGTTTAGTAGTGTTTAACAATTACTTAGTTTTTAAATTTTTCCTTTTTTTTTGCTGATTATTCATATTTTGCTGATAGTTAAAATCGAGCCTTATAAATAGAGAATAGAATTTAAAATGAAGTGATAGAATTTATGATGAATTAAGTTTATACAGTTTTCAATTATGGTAATGATTTTATACATGACATTCTGGCATTAGATTTTATTGTGAAGTTCATATCTGTCCACAAAACTTTCAGTAACTATAAAATATATTGTCATGGCAATTCAGATGGGGAATTTAGTTCAGTATCTGCTTATTTTCTCAAATTGATTTACTGTTATGACCAAGTTATTATTTATAGCTAGCTCAGTACACCCCACCCCCTTTCCCACCATAAATGAGGATTAGATACAAAGCTCAGAGGTCATATACAGTGCCTACGAAAACATGTGAAAGTTCAGCTTCTACAAATGTGCCATCCTTTCTATGAACTCTCTCTCTCTCTCTCTCTCTCTCTCTCTCTCAGTTTTATTAATATATTTCTTTTGTATCTGTAGATGTTCTTGAATGAGTATGATGAACTCCCCCTCCCGGCTCTGACCTACTTGACGGGAGAGTGTAACTATGGAGGCCGAGTGACGGATGACAAAGATCGCCGCCTCCTCATGTCTATCCTCTCCATCTTCTACACGGAACAAATCATCACCAACCCAGACTACAAGTAAATATTGTGTTTAAATACAAATCATCACTAACCCAGATGACAAGTAATATTTTGTGTTAAAAATAAAGGTCTTTTGTAATGAACAGAAGGGTCTCAAGAAGTACTAGTATTATTATATTCAGTTATATTTAAACTAGAAAAACAGTTTATAATAATTATACTGTCCTTGAGATACCACAAAATAAATAATTATAAAGTTTCTATCAGAGAATAGTGATTTTATCAAGAAATTTGAGAAATTGATTGTAAAGGATTAACCCACCCACCCACCCACCCCTTCCCAATGACTATTCTGTTTGTTTTTGTCAGATTCTCTCCCAGTGGTATTTACTATGCCCCAGAGGAAGGCCTCCACCAGAGCTATATTGATTACATCAGGACCCTCCCCCTTAACCCACTCCCAGAAGTGTTTGGTCTTCATGAGAATGCAGACATCACAAAGGACAACCAAGAAACACAGCTGGTAAGGTCATACTGTACAATCTGACATAATTAAGATGGTTATACTGTAAATCACATTTAAATCGGGTGAGATTCAATTGATTAAATTTGTGCTCATTATTTAAGATACTAATTAAAAAAAAAGTTCACATAAAATGTAAGTGATTAACAGTTTTGTTTTTTACAAAAGATATAAGAGTGGTATATTGTATGTCCTTATCATTGTACCTGATTTCCTGTTTCAGTTGTTCGATAACATTCTTTTGACCCTCCCTCGACAAGCCAACAAGGGAGGTAAATCAACAGCTGAAGTCATCCAGGACCTGGCTGCAGATATCCTAGGAAAATTACCAAAGGACTATGATATGGAATTTGTACGTATTGCTAAATGGATAAGATTTTAAATAATTATATCAAATATATCTTAAACCATTCAATTAAAAGCAATAAAATTTATGTGTTAACTCAGAATTAAATTTGTTTCTTAATTTTTTTTAGCTCATCCTGATGAATTGAGCTTTGTAGTCATTGATTACCTTAATGATTCAGAAACATGCAATATCACTTAATTTTATCTTTCTCTTTAACATCAGGTCATGAAAAAATACCCAGTGTTGTACAATGAGTCCATGAACACAGTATTGAGACAGGAACTTATTCGCTTCAACCGTCTGACATCCGTTGTTCGCCAGTCTCTCATTAACCTCCAGAAGGCCATCAAAGGTCTTGTGGTCATGTCGTCAGAGTTGGAGGAGGTGTTCCAGAGCATGCTTATAGGAAAAGTCCCATCTGTATGGGCGGCCAAGTCATACCCCTCTCTTAAACCTCTGGGAAGCTATATAAATGATCTCATAGCCAGGTAAGAAAAAATCAGTGTCAAATTGTCTTATATAACATTGATTTCCAGTGTTGATATTCATTGATTAGCAAAGGTGTGCATATGCTGCAAAGATGTCTGTTGCAAAAAATGCTTCATTATGCTGTACTTGAGAGCTTTACTTGATATCTTTGTCTTTTATAGATTGAAGTTCTTCAGCGATTGGATTGACCATGGTGCCCCACCCACTTTCTGGTTGTCTGGGTTCTATTTCACACAGTCCTTCTTGACAGGTTTGCAGATTTTTTTTTTTTGGGGGGGGGGATCATTTTTTTTCATAAATGGTGTAGATTGCTCTTTAGGAAATCCATCATTATTACAAATTACTTCATCTGATACAGGTGTCTCCCAGAACTATGCCAGAAAGTATACCATTCCCATTGATACAGTTGGCTTTGAATTTGCAATATTGAAAGAAGAAAGACATATGGAGACCAAGCCAGAGGATGGTGCTTACGTATATGTAAGTAATGAAGCGAATACCTCAGATTGATAAATAACCAGCATACTGAATACTTCTGTAGGTAACTTATTTGTGGTGCTTTTCTGTGAGTCTTGTTTTTTTTTTGATGAAAACATTTAACTGTAGGAACAATGTAAGTGATGGAAGTTTCAGTGCAGGGTTAATTTATCCCCAACTCTGTTTAAATTAAAGACGCATAATAATTTTCCTTACATATTAGCTCTGAACTGTATACATGTACCATAGGGAAATGTGTAGACTTGTTGAATATATCCCTAAATGTGAGTTTTGTAATCAGCAGTATTGGTACATTGTATACAATGTTCAGTGATGGCCAAAAAAAAAATGTTCTGGCAAATTTTGTGTACTAGCACTTAATTACTCAAGAATATAAATCCATGAACTTGTAGCATGACATATACATTATTTAGCATTTGTTATTTTTTTTTTTTAACTATGCCTTGTAATATTGACAGGGCTTGTTCCTGGAGGGAGCTCGATGGGACAGAGACACAATGCTGATTGGAGAATCCCTCCCCAAAATCCTCTTTGATCAAATGCCATGTGTATCCTTTTTAATAACCATTCTGTTCATGACATCCTGATAAATTCATGTTTAGAACAATATAGAAAATTCAATTACTTAAAATGATAAAAAATGATTCTTCCAAATATCACCTTGAAGGTAAAGCATGAAGAAAATTGATTATAGCTGTGTTTCCATTTTTATCTGTTTGATTCACATTTTGCTTCTTTCTAATACATGTACATGTAAACTGATCCATAATACCAGGCACCATTTATATGTAGGGTATAGCATCAATATGCAAATATCCACCCTTAACCCCATAATTAGATCTGGTTACAGCCTAACAGAATTGAGGACTTTGCTGAGAAGAAGACTTACCGCTGTCCAGTTTACAAGACCAGTGCTAGAAGAGGTGTTCTGTCCACCACCGGTCACTCCACAAACTTTGTGCTATTTATAGAACTCCCAACAGACAAATCTCAAAATCACTGGATCAACCGAGGCGTGGCCAGTCTCTGTCAACTGGATGACTGAGCAGTGATCCGTGACTGTTGTTATGGAAACACAGATTTTGTTTTATGAAGATGCATTCTCACAGAATTTGTTTTTGAAACATAGTCATTTCAAAAAATGTTAAATAATTCCATGTCGTATTTGTGCCAATCCATTACTACTTTGTTAGTTTTTAATTTATAACTGTAGGAGATCCTATATGACAGTGATAATAATGTATAAAACTATTATTTTATTTCCGTGGTATTATATATTACATAGTCCCTGCTGATTAAAATGAGATGTCTGCTGATCCGTCCATATTTTTGTTATTATTATTTATAATGTGTGTGCCTTTATTCCTTCAACTGTTGTTACTTAAAGGTATCAAATTTATTAACTGTGAATAAACCGTCCTTGAATTTGTAGTGTATATCCATGCCTTAATTGTAATTGATAAGGAACTTCTTTTACTGGCATTATAATTTCCCTAATATTGTTTATCAATTTGTAATTTCTCAGCTATTTTGTGCTGAAGTCTAACTGTGATATTCAAATAATTATATGATGTATACATGTTTATATGTTAACCGTTTTGTGATGTAGAAAACATTCTATGCCTGTATCAGATGTTATTTGTATCCTAAATTTTTTTTGTCACTTGATGTTTTAAATGATCAATTTTTCTGCTGTTTTCCTTCACTTATTCAATACAAACTAATTTGTGTAAAAAAAAATTTCATTTCTCATTACTGTTTTAAAAAAAAAACCTTGTGTGCCTTTAATTAATCATAAAATTGATACTTTGTTCAGCAGGTACGTGATTTTTGCAGTGATATGCAGTCTTCCCATTTGATATTTACAACTTCAGACTGCTGTAAACTATACATAAAACTGCTTCACCATTCTCATGTTGTTTGATACAGTTGGCTGTGAATAAAACTAAAAAAAAAATATAGAGACTTGTGAAATTATCATTTCTCTTTGATACAGCAATTAATTCAAAATCATTCTGGTCACCATTACATACATTCTTCAGGGGGATGTACAAGGTACATATTATAGTCCCCTACTGGAGGGAACTATAGGTTTCCTCTCCATTTTGTCTTCTTTTTTTCTCAGTCAGTCTGTCCCCCTTTATTTTCTGGACTTTTTGCTACACAAGATACTTGTATTGAGTTGATTTTTGGTTTATGAGTCCATCTTGATGAGTTACAGATCAAGTTTCTATTTCGTTCTGCTTCAATGATTTGAAGGAATTTTGGCCTTATGTATATGTTACAACCCAAAAGAGACAACAAAGTTATCATATTGTATTTATTAAATGTATAAACAAAATTATCTAAAAATTACATTTTGCTGATAAAATACAGTAAATGTACAAGATATCTTTTAAAAGATCCAATTAATAAATGAATATAATCACAGGGAATACCTGCTCAAATTGATGTACATGGTGTTGTATGCAAATTAAATAAGACATTTTTCAAAAGTTTTTGTGAAAAAATAACAGCTTCACCATTTGTTTTTGTATGCCAAAATTGTGCAATATTTTACAACTTTTAATCATTGGCAACTTGTAAATATAGTATATAGGAACCGATAGAAAATTGGTCATAAAATAACTATTTGAGTAAAGATGAAAGTCCTGCCACAAATACACTACACAGTGTAAGCTTTTATCTGTGTAGGTTATCTTACTGGTAAACATATGCATTTATAAATCCTTATTAAAATTAATTTTATCACACCTTTTTGAGTTATATGAAGAGACATGATTTTAGATGCTCATGCATTCCTTAATGCAAATGCATTCAGGCCTTTTAAAGGAGAGGTTATGTACTGTGCAAATTTTACAAAATATGATTAATATGAAAAATTCTACATCTCCACTATAAATATTCATGTACAAATGGAATGTTATTAGTATGTATATCAAAATATATTTTCAATATATACAGGACCTTGTCTCACTAATCATACTATGATTGTCTCTTCATTGCTGTGTTTTGGTTTCTCCTTAAACCCCATCAACTTAAAAAATTCAATTTAGACATTGCAATAATTGCCTCCAATTGACAAAAGCACTTAAATAAAAAGGGATTTTGATTTTAACTCAAATGTATAATTAAAATCCCATCACAACAATGAAAAAGAAATCAGGATTTTTACAATTCATCATCATCAAATGGAATAACAAACACACAAAATACACGCAGCATAAAGAATATTTACATCTGATATGTTTTGATATGGTGTGGGGCAACATGCTACCCCTGGGTTTAAGCAACAACTTCCACACCTTGCATCCATTTAGAATCACTCACACTCCATGTGAACAATAACTTTTCTTATCTTTCATACATCTAACTGATTACAAGCATTTAACCATGCACATTGATATACATAAAATGGTCACTCAAAATTCACTTGATACATAAGCATGCTTAACTGTTCTTCACACTACAGCAACTATACAGCCTTGTATACAACATCTTGTGTATAAATTTTATCACATATTTATTTCGGGATTATTGGACTTTGAAGATTTTATTTAAAAGAGTCAGTATTCTTTGGGATGACATGGTTTGTAATTGAAAAAAAAAAATCTTTGCAATCACATGTAATATGAATCAAAATTATTATAAATTATGATAAAACAATTTGTTTCAAGAATATTCTTTGAGTATACTTATTGAATTGGAAAAAACAAGAGGGTGTCAATAATGATAGGATTGCTAAGGTGTAAATAATTTAAACCACTAAATAAACCAATGTTTACAGGTTTGCATAGCGAAAAAGTGATGGGGATGCTTTTTAATCACATCGCCTTTTCTTTCAATACTACTAACTAACCAATATACTTCATACATAACTAAAGATTTTTAAGTAAATTTCAAATTTCATGATAATCTATCAACAAATTTCCTATTTTCTGTCAAACCTAGATAAATTAAACCTGGATGAAATGAATTTTATTCAGATAAATTTCAGTTAAGGAATGCTGAATCTGACTCTAGATAGAGATGCTGTGGTTATAGGAATCTTTGAAGCAAACATCCAATAAAAACCATGACAACAGCTGCAAAGGACATCTTCACTTGTCCAGCTCCGTTACAATTGTTCGATTCACAGTAGCAGATCTCCTTAAATACACCTACTGTGTCCCACTGCCAACGGCAACCCCATGCCACCCCTGAAATAAATTTACATAATGAATAAATGCAATGTCACATAAAACTGAAAAGCCCACTAGAATTTGTCGACAAGGATAAGTTTGAGATTAGTTAACATAGTCTTCCAGCCTCAACAAAAAGACATTTATTGTCACTTTATCATTATTTTATCAATACATTATGCATTAATATGCAATTCCTCTGAAATACATGAGTTGAGTTTTAATGTAAAGTTTCAGAAAAAAAACAAGTACACAATTATAAATGCCTCAGAATCAAGGACCAAATACAGTCAAACCTTGTCATCTCATACTGGATGGGACTGAAAAAAAACTTCAAGATATCCTAGGGTTCAAGACATTGAGGTAGAAAAAGTGATGTTGAGTTCCAACTCTCTTTCACATATTATGGTATTTGAGATTTAACAATGTTTGAGATAGCGAGGTTTAACTATATATGCAGTGTACATACCCTGGTCTGTCCTTGACCCACATCTTCTTGTGATCTTTTTCCAACCTCTCCCTTCATGTAAAAAAAAACAACTCTATAATGTTTCCAAACAAAAGAATACATACAATTGTTTTGAGTGCTGATTAGTTTGCTCAGACTATTACAAGAAATAATAACATGTGCATTGTTCTCCCGTTGGTTCAGTTTAAAGCACCCCATAATTTTTTAAAAATTGCATAAGAATTAATTGTCAAAATGCTTACATCCTGGACTCTCCTGGGTGATTTTCATACAGAACTGGCCAGGGGTGTTGGCCTCGAAGCTGTTGCAGTTGATGGGTGCATTGACTTCTTTATCAAAGGCCTCGTAGGATGGACATGATAAATCTTCATTGCTGTCACACTGGTAACACTGAATTGCTTGGGCTGAAATATTGAAAGAACACTTTAATAAAAATGTCCTTTTAGCTCTAATTATTATGTATTTCTAAAATATATTATACACTAGATAAAATTGTATATCTTCAGGTTTATGTCTATTTTCATAACCAAATCTGAAGAATATCACACTTATTTACTATTTGTTTAATTTAGATTAATCTGAATAATGTTAAATTAAAAGAGCTACTTTTATAATTTATCATAAACAAGACCTAAGTTATATTTTGAATTAAATAGAGTCTTTTATATAGCGGAAGTAAAGTTTTGTAAACATTCTCAATGGATGACACACACCTGGACAGGTAAGATATTTTAAAGATTTCAATTAAATTTACAGATATTTAGGCAAAATAAAAGCTTAATTTTACGTATTGTTAAAAACATAACAAGTGGCATGAATAAATATATTAACCTGTTTGCAGTTGTGAAATAATGCCCAGTAACGCTACCCAGGCGATGGCCTGGTGAACCATCATGGCGCTTTTCCTTTACAAATTGTTGACAGGTGGCGCTGGTGGAATTCGAATTTTACCTGCGAAGTTTACCTGGGAAACATGAGGCGTGGATCTATCATTATCATCGAATTTCTTTATGTCGATTAATCTGTCTAAAAAATGCAGAAAAGTATGAAATTATTACACAGTGTATGTTAGAATGGTTGGGAGACTTTGATTTTTCAATTATACCCATATCAATCATAGGTGCTTAATTGGGGACGGGACCCCCCTCCCCCGCGTTCCGTACTCCAAGTGTTCTCCGACTTTTTTTTTTATATGAAATATTTTTCTATGACACATTCACAAAGTATTACAATTGAAAAATCCAAAATATGACCGAAAAATAACCTTTTATAAAAATTCATACTCTCTATAGCTGACACTAAAAATTCTCTTTTAGTATCAAAGAGTATGAATTTTTCAATATTCTCTGTAAGATTTTCATTACCGGAGCCAATTTTCCCCCTCTTTCTTTCTCAGAGTGGATCTCCCCTATTTCACCAATGCTCAAATCATATCGACAATACCGGTACAGTTTTTTTTATATATGAATTGGTACTTTTCACATAGAGTGTGTAAGAAAATTCCAAAAAATATATTATCAATAGCCGGTTCGACATACCATTTTGTTAGTATATGAATTAATTCTTCAAAGGGGGAAAAAGAGAAAACAAAACAAAATACAAGAAACATTGATTTTGCAAGCCGTAGCATTAGAATGTCCCTTCAAACCCTGCGGCAGAAACAGAAAGTAAATAATCTCTAAGGTTTTCCAAAATTTCAAGTTTTTAGAAATCGACCCATTTTTAGTTCCATGGCAATGGCAACTATTTTTGATGTCTAATAAATTCATGTACATGTAGCTTGAAATATAAATGGGGTCGAAAAAATCATTTAAAATAAAATTCCTCCTTTTTGTTTCCACAGCTAGTTAAAAATTTGTCCAACCGATTAAATTGTGAGATATGTCGTGCGCACGAGACAATTTTGGCCTAGAATCTTTGAAAAAAAATCTGTGTCTAGAATGTATCATCGTACATTGTACCACACTTTTTAAAATAATTTTTTTGCAGAAAATAGTTTGACCAGATCAAAAGAATAAGACTTTAATCCTTTTAAAGAATGGTTGGGCAGCTACTGGAAAAAATTAAAAATTTCAATTTTCATACTTCGTTTTCACAACCACTATCCTCACTATCTATACATTTGTGTTCGACTGGGAATACTTGGAGCAGTTTGCGCTACGACGAAGGAATTCCACTAAAGTCGGATCGTACATTTCCCACAGTTCGTTTGTCGTGAATACTACACATTGAATTTGGTGCGAACTATAATGTTGTAAATTTTGAATTTACTTGATGGAGGTAAACGCAAAACTTAACGCATAATAGATCTGTGTTTAAAAATCCAAGATGCTCAGATTATAGCCATTTTTTTTTCAGAACGAAAATATAGTTTGGAATCATCAAGCAATTATGACAAATTCAAATGCCAGACCTAGGACAGACCCAGGAATTATTCCCTCTTTAAAAACACCCCCTCCTCACAATGTCAAGGTTTTGTGTTGAGTTCCGAAATCACAAAACCTTAACATTGTGAGGAACCCCCCCCCCCCCAAAAAAAAATTGACAAGGTTGAAAAAAAAAATTTGTGCCTAAATCGAACAACCTGTTTAATGGTGGTGGTGGTTTTGATGTGTGTGTGTGTGTGTGGGGGGGGGGGGGGGTTAGATAGAACGTTCCATCGTTAAAATGATACTTCCTATGAACCCTGTTTAACGATAAATGTGGTGAGGGCTGGTTTGAACATATTTTATTGTAGTTTCTAATTACAAAGGGATTGGGCACAAGTTCTAAAAACTTATTACGCCCTCTCCCTACATGTAAATTACAAAGATTAAATTAGGTTACAGTTAAATATGTACATTCAAAATATTCAATATTTGTGAAATTTATAAATCAGTGCATTTTAAAGAATCATACATATAATTTTATATATAAATGTATATATAAATAAATATATTTATATTAATACTAATACTAACATGTGAATCTGTCTGAATGTTTAATAAAAGTTTTAACAATAGAGAAAAGACGTTCATTCTCCACAGCACTCAATGAATCTATCCCCCATAATAAAACATGTGTATCTAAAATGTGAATTTTATCAAACAATAAAAATTTACCAAGAAATTCCTTTCTGGCTTCTTTATACTTTGGACCTATAAAATATCTTCTTTTTGCCACATGAGCATAAAGGACTTGAGATTAAATTACATCTGTAGAGGTCAATATTCAATGCACAATTATGTCGAAGTCTGGTCTGGAGAACATTCAGTTGCCTGTTACCATATTCAAAATATGATGGTGGGGCAGATTTTTTAATACTTATTTTAGATTTAAAATTTGACAACAATTGTAAGTTTCTATTTTCAAGTGGTAATGAGTTCCATTCATTCCAACTACAGTAGGAATAAACGATGACTTATAAGTCTGTAATCTACATTTTGGAATATCATAATTTTCAGAATTTCTAGTAGAATAGCTAGATGTATTAAATTGCATATCTGGAAGTAATATGTCCAGTAGATAATCTGGTGCTAAATTATTTTGCATTTAAAAAAAAATGGTGAGGGCTAAATTATTATTACTATTTAATTCTAGTTAAATTATTCTAATTGGGGCTGGGGGTGCTACACAGTCTTAAATCCACTTTCCTCGAAGGCTTCATACATTTGTGTATTCCTACCAACTATGGAAGGGTTCCCGTTTCCTTGGGAGGGGGGGGGGGTCAAATCTTTTCCTGCAGGTACTATCCGAAAAGAAAATCCAAGGAGGGAGAGGGGTTCTGACCCCGCCCCCTGCCTGCGTTGGACTTTGCCGTATCAATGTGATGTAAATACACAAAAAAAAAAAAAAAACACACTTCCAGGATATGTCTTATGAGACTTCAAACAATTTTTCATTGTCTCGAAATTGAATGAATTAAAGCTCTTTAAAAAAAAAAATAAATCAAAGACTATCGGGTGGTAACATTCCGATTACATGATCGACGAGAGCGGTGTATGGAAAATATTTGATTTTAATTATATTGTCTTCACTATATATATCCGTGTGAAACCTAATTTTTCAACTTTAAAGTAAAAGTTTATTTTTCTGAATTAGGTTTCCCCAAACCAAAACTTCAGTATGTTGTTGACTTTTACCTATTAAATTCAAAAATTCATAGAATAAACATTGATCAGCTTGAATTTAATTTAATTTAATTTAATTTAATTTAATTTAATTTAATTTAATTTAATTTAATTTAATTTAATTTAATTTAATTATCATATCTTTTTTTTATCTTATGTCGTTAAGAGTTGCTTCCGCCAATATATAAAAATTACACAGAATTCTTTCGTGTCCACTTTAATCCTTCCAGTCCATTTTGATGCACTCTGTGTGAAGTCTTTGATATTATATGTAAATATACAAGACCAACAAAAAAAGAAGACAAATCAGTTTGCGTAATAGTTTGTAATATTTCGCAATATTTGTCTCGGGATCGAAAGTTTACAAAGGAATGACGTCACATCGCGCATGCGTATTCCTTCTTAGTTTGGCTTGATAACTTTTCTGGACGACCTACACGAAAGTGCAGTCTAAAAATGTACAAAATACTTACCATTTTGGGAGTTGCTCTGGCAGCATTTTTATTTTTTGAATTTGGTAAGTAATTGTTTTGCTTTCTATTACAGTGAAATATGCTTCCCCGCATTAAACTGGGATTTGAGACACTTGTAAACACCTGCACAAATTCAAGCTTGTAAAAAATCTTTTCTATTAATGGGCGCTGTCTTTTCAAGCGTTTTAGTCTTTACTTTGCATGTTGTTATCTTTAGTTTGAGCTTAATTGTACGGACAAGATTTCTTTCTGAATTTGTCTCGTAAAATGGAAGATATTACCTGTACAATATAGGTCAAATGACCTTCACAATGAAGGTCGCTTCGGTTTCCGCTCCATTTCAGGTTCATCATCGTGTATGTGTAAAAATATCTAAATATATGTAATGTTTGGTGTCTCTTTTGTTTCCAAGGATTAATATAACATTTTTCTTTGAATTACTCAACTGAAGAAAAAAAAATAACCCAATCAGTTTTTCTTTTTGTGATGTAGTTGATGATCTGAAAAAAATGTAATAGATATAGTTCAATTTATAAAATTGAATTTTGATTGTGCGAGGTACAGAAATATAATTATGCATATATATTATTGCCACCAGTCTCTATTTGTGGTACATTTATCAGAGAAATAACTATTTAATTATTTGTATGTTTATACATAGTATCATAATAGTTTTACAAAGAAATATATTTATACCCCCACAAACTTAATGTCAATATATTTTTTTATAAAGCTTTAATCCTCAAGACATTGTATGGATGACATGACATTCTATAAAATGTCCTTCTTGTCCTTTGAGAAATGCATGATAGTTGCCACATCTAAAAATAGTACACTTGTAGAGTTTTTACCTGAGGGAGTTATTTAGTCTTTGTCAAGATTTATGGTTAGAAGCCCTATCTCATTGCTAAATTTTGGCCTAAAGTTTGTTAAAAGGATTAAAAAATTGTGAATTATAGTGTTTTTCTTGTTGAATTAACTTACCTTGAATATAATGATGAGTTTGAAAAAGCCCAGAGCACATTCCAATAAATTGTTATGACTTGATAAATTAATTGAGTCATTGTGAAACATATTGCAAGATAAATACATTTATAATATCAAAATTTATCTGAAGTTGGTCTTTGGAACTTCTTCTTTTTTTGAATGTGGAAATCACGAACATCTACCAGTCCATATATACAATTATATGCAAGACAGATCTCATTAGCATTGTTCCTACGTTTTGCATTAATCAATGTCAAACTTGGTTTGTGTCGCAAGTTACACACATTTTTAACTTCTTGATAGTTTTAAAACTTGTAAAATTTATAAATACATAATTTTCAAAAATGATTTTATTTCTACATTATGATTAAGTATTTTTTTTTTTTCTTTAGAAAAGCTTTACCTTTAGTACTTAGTTTAAGAAGCTTTTAAGATATTGATAGACATTTCCAGCTAAATTTATCCACATTTTTTTTTCTGAATCAGGAAATGCCATCCAGTGCTACCAGTGTAATTCCTATTTCCAGCAGGACTGTGCTGATTACTTTAACAACCACTCACATGCCCTTGTAGACTGTGGAGATAATGTCACTATGTGTAGGAAAATTGTCCAGGAAGGTAAGTGGGATTGAAGACTTTATTCATCCAAGCACAGCATTTTACATGGGGAAAAAAAAACAATATAAAAGCCTCGTATATTTATCTGCAAAAAAATCAAATATTGGTAAATTAAACTGGAATTATTTTAATAGAGAGTCTAATTAACTAAGGAAACTGATAAAGTTTTTAGTTTGGTGATGGACTAATAAATGGAAATCTGCATTCAGTGGACAAATAGAGAAATGTAGTGTATATTGAATTTTCCAGTTTACTACAACGACGAGTGGAATGTGCGCTACATCCGTCAGTGCGCCCCAAGTGGAGAGATCGGAGATGACGAAGGTCGTGTTTGCAAGGAGAGAACTGGAACATACCGTGTTAAGATGCGATACTGTCATTGTGGAAACCAGAAGGGTTGCAACAGTGCCACCAGCATACAGTTGTCTCTTGTCATGATGCTTCTCCCAGTTGTAGCTGCCATTAAATCTCAATTTTCACATCTCTTATGAAAACTGTGTTAAGTTTTAGGTGTTTTTTAAAGTTAAAAAAAATTCCATTTTAAAAATGAACCAAAAAATATGGTATATCTACAAATTTTTTTAGGGTCTATGCAAAATTTTGATTAGCAATTCAGTTTTGAAAAATGGAAAGAAAAGAACATTTGAAATCACTAGTGTGCATATGTATTTAAAACAAAAAATTCTGGATTTTTAATATTTCCAATTTATTCTGGAAGAATCTCATTTGATCATCATTATCATATTATCATTTCTTTTTGCTGAAATATTCATAAACAAAAGCTTAAAATAAAATTAACACAATAATATGAATATTCACAGTACTTAGCAAAAGTAACAAAGTTGAAATTATGAATTTTAATGTATTGTGTAATGATGATATCCAAAATGAAACTTCTGTAATTGATTTTCATATCCATATGATATTTGCAACTACACCAATGCTTGTATTTTCATGTTAGATTTTAGATTTCACAATTTTTAACATTTGATAAAATTTGTGCAATGTTTTCCTCCCCTGTTTTTTTTTTTTTTTAGTAGGATTTGTTTTGAAGCATGGTCAGCATGCTGCTTGATGTAGATACAATAGTATGTTCCTGTAACTCATGTTGATAGCTACATGTACAAAAGTGGCACTTAAAACATGTACATGATGTAAATACTCCCTCTATCTATCATTTAAACATCTGATGTGTACAGAGGCAATATTACCAGGTCGAGAGTGTTAATGGTACATTAAGCTATGAACATGAATTATTCCACTAGAAATATCATCCTGAATAAATTTTCTTTTATAGATGTGTTGAATTTAAGATGTACATGTTAACGCTTTGAAGTGGATGGTGCACAAAGGAGTTAATAATGCTCTTTGACAGTCAGAAAAATGCATTTTTTTAAATTGACAATTTGCAAAGCACAGTACACAGTCTATAAACGAGAGTAGATGTGAAGTGTGAAAGAATAGATTCTTTATGTCATACCTGGGTCATATTATACATATGATTTACATATTCGTTGCAAAAAATTTATTTTTCGATTATTTTCAATGAACTCTTTATTTTTCCAATTGCTTGATATAATCTTCATTATCAGTTATACAAAATTTTTGATATTGTAAATTTTCCTAAGTTATCATTCCATTTTTATTTTGAAGGTTGTGTATAACAGTGTTGTGATAAGCATCTATTGGCTTACATAACCATTCCCGACAGATTGTTTATTTTTCATTTTGTATGATTGCAGAACTTAAATGCACTAATTATCAAGATTTATTTGTTCAATGGCAGGTATTGATATTTTGTTAAACACGAATTCAAGGACTTGTACATTTAGTCAGATTTCTTAATAAATTTTTAATTTTTGCTGTGTTGTCTGTATTTCTTGTTACGGATACTAAATATGCCTCTAGCAGGGCAATATAGAGAATTGGTGTGCACAGTGTACTTGTCAGAATAAGTGATAATTACATTGTAGTGGAGATGGCATTAAATATAACAGTCATAATGTGGAAGATCTCTATTTTAGTAGATTTGGCAAATCTTATAAAATTTTTATACCTACACTGCCTTTTGGTGTGGACTTGCTAAGGATAAACCAAGGATTGATATATATATACAGTGTTTTTCTATCTGTAAAATATTTTGAAAAAGAATTGGTTTCTTTGAGAGTATTGGAAACGGTGTCCTGACAACTGAAGAATCCATTTAGCTTTGATGAGGATAATGTTTTTAATGATGAAGGTATGAAAGATATACCGGTATATTGGGAAAATAGTTCCTTTAAAATTTTAGATGGTATGAGGCAGTTTCGAGTTTAAAGAAGTGGGATCTCTGGATTTTTTTGTATTACAACGTTGGCCAAGAAAGAAATCTTGAAAATTGGAACAAGAATAATATAAAAATGCGAGAGTCCTATAGGAATCATAGTCCATCTGTCCATCACTTGTTTGTGATTGTTGTACCTTAACCAGTTTTCAAAGTTTCGAGTCCAAATTTTGTACAGAAGAACAAGACATAGTCATTTCACTGTCTGTGTGTCTGTGAGTGTATATTCATGACACTTTAGTTGTGACACTATAATTCAAAAAACAGTTTCAACGATATGCTTTCTTTTGTGGAGAAATTCTTTACTATAAGAGCAAGACACAATATAGATGCCTGAATGTACCTATCCATTGTCACAGAGTAACTCTTAAGTTTTCATCGAATCAGTTTTAAATTATATACAGAAAGAGTTGACCATAAGAGGAAGGCATCCTGTTAATTTTATAGTTCCTTTGTATCAATGAACTTTTTATATAATTTGATTAATGCACACAATACTTCATCAATTTAATTAATGATATTTCATTTCAACATACGCATATATTTATATCATGATCTCTATAATTGAATTGTTACTCTCTGTATTAGAATTGATGCGTGTATTAACTCCTCTAACAAATTCTTTGTAAAATAATTAAAGATATATTCAGTTGAATTAATTAAGGAGATTAATTTTGTTGTTGCTCTTCTTGATATGCACATCAATAATTTCGTTGGATGAGATCAATACATAAACTTGTTTTGATGAGCGCATCAATTCAATTATGGAAAGTAATAATCAAATAAATGAACGCTTCAAATGACTAATGATATATTCAATTCTTTGAGATTATGCTAATTTGGCACTCCATAAATAAAAACACGTAAATTTTACACAGTTATAAACTAAAAAGTAAGTATTTTATAACGAAATAGGTCAAGATAACGAACAGCAATCGATCTAAAAAACAAAAAACTTTCAAATAGTACAAATATGTGAATAGGTCTAATAGGTGGGATCAGGTGCCTAGGAAAAGTAAGCATCCCCTGTCGACCGGCAACACCAGCTGTTAGCCTTATGTATTGAGGAGGTAGACGGAATAATCAGTACACAGTATAGAAAAAATTTATATAAAGACAAACGCCTAACAATCGATATGAAATATTCAGTCAAAGTACGAACTAATGATGGGTTGTATTTGCTAACAAGCTCATTATAACGACCATAGAATTTACGAAATGCTGACTTTAAACAAGGTTGTTGAAATCCCTGCAACATTAACTTACTTGTTAGTTGCTTGCCTCGGTTTAAAAATTGATCGTACTCACAACATGATCTTGAAAATTCTAATAAGTTGGGAGACATAAGCCCCATATGTAGGTGATAGTGGAATATTAAGTACATAAATAAGAAAAGCTGACGATTGAAAAGCTGAAACCATCTCGTTTGTGATATAGTTTAGTTGGCCCTTATCATTTATACGTAGTCAGTAAAATATCCAAATATGAAACAGATGTGACAGACACTGTGGTGTCTTTCATTTCGAGTTCACTGGGATATACTAAGTCGGCATATTAATGGAAGTATCTAGTGTTAATGATAAAACGTCGTCGATAAGCTGAATGTCGAGTTAAAGGCTAAAGGAAGTGTTTTTTCTTCTCATGTAGAAGTTTTTGAATAAATTCTGCTTCATAGAAATATAAAGAAGGCTGGCTAATAAAGGAGCACAATTAGTGTTCACTGGAACTCCAACAGATTGTTGGAAGATCTGGTCTCCAAAGACTACATAGATGTTGTCAGTGAGGAATTCCAGCACCCTTTAAATACAAACCTTAGAGCACTTATGTGTAGAATCAGATCGATTTTTAATTTTTTTACAATGTAATTTTGTAGATTACCAGTTACAAGATATGAAAATTTCTGAGTTCCATTTTTCCTACAAAGTAGTTGTCTCTGGTATATCAAAAAGCCCTGTTCTTAATTTATCGTGAGGAATAGTTGTATAAAGTGTCGAAAACTCTTGATGTTACTGAATTTTGAAAATTTTTGTGATTGTATATTTTCTAAATATTCTTTGGAGTTTTTGAGAATCCACATATTTACACCACATTTCGAATACTAGAATGCTGTTGCATAATATGTCTGAAGATTCTTCTATACAGCAGTTAATATTTTTGCGAGGAGTAAAATAGGGGCTTGGTAGAGTGGTTTCTGAACCGGCAATCTATCTTTGTAAGGATTTTTATGAAGACCAGGAATCCATTATAGGTAGGGTAGATCGAACTCACTTTCGTTGACTGGGATGTTCAAAGTTTTAAAGATTTAAATGCGATTGTGAAGAATTTCATCCTCAGAAAGTGAACTATATAAGTTGGATTTGCATATGTAGAATCAAAACCAAGTTCTTCTAAAATACAGTAATTCTGTCGTAATAATGATCCTTACAAACAAAGACGATATGATTACATAGGCAATTTCGCCACATATGATCCACATATGCATTCCCCTTCATATGAGGATCATATGAGGATCATATGAGATTCATATGTATATTCAATCATATGAGTATCATATGTGGCAAATCATATGTGGATCATATGTTTACGCATATGTAAATCATATGAAGCAATATACATATGATACACATATGAAAGAGTCTGCATATGAGAATCATATGCATACTTTGAGAATTATCATATGAGAATCATATGAAACAGATCTGTGTGTGTTTAATTATTTGTCCTTGGTATAAACAGGTAAAATTCATTTTTATTTTAATTCAATGAGATAAAAAAAATACGTTTATTCAATGTTAATCAGTTAACACTTGAGTAATTTCATATAATAAGTTGGTGTTATATTTTAACAAGTAGACTGTATGATTAAAAAACAATTTCAATAACATATATCAAGATGTGTAAATTTAAATGTATATTTATTCAAAAGAATCAAGATGTTCATTTCCTTAAGAAGCTTGGATAAAAAGGGAATAAGAACTCTGTTAACCCCCCCTCCCCCCCCCCCCCCCAAAAACAATCCTTTCATAAAATTAAAAATTTGTTTTCTTGAAAAACAAAATTCATCAAGAATAAATTGATTTGTATTTTATCCAAAAATCGTTATGGCTGGTTTTATTTTATGAGTAAAATTAAAATCATTCCACATTTTATTTACGGGCCGGTTTCGGTTTTTATCAGATGAAAGTGTACGTCATGTTTGACGTCACTTCTGCAGCAGAAGATGTTGGAAAAAGTAAGTGATCTCGGATACGTTTTAAAAGACTTTTTAAAGGCTAGTTCATTGTGTTTAGATCATTTCATTACGGTTACAGATCCGTATAAACTTTCTAGTACTCTCATCACTTGTATATAATTGTTAAATTAATGCAGTTCGTAAAAAGCCGATAAACCTAGTGATCAATCATAGGCACTCCCCAGCTTAATTGTTAAAAAAATATATATCTACTATACTATAAACATAACTTATGTTTATAGTATAGTAGATATATATTTTTTTAACAATTAAGCTGGGGAGTGCCTATGTGATCAATAAGTAATTTTGTTTGTTAACGATGCATGTTTAGGCCATTTAGCATCACTTATTTTTTCAGATTTGTTTCCCTTTTGTTAATAGATATGCTTGAATATTTTCGATATGAAAGTGAAAGTAGAAACCTTGTAAAGCAGTGAACGTAAAATGTTTGTTGAGATCGTTATTCATTCGGTTCTTTCATCAAATTAATGAGAAACGTGTTTTAAATAATGTATTTAGGAACTGGAGTTCAGTGTCACAGTGCTGTTTTTGTATTTTTTTTTCAAAGAACCCCAAAGCTGATTAGACTGACGATTGAACACAAAGCTGATTTGACTGACGATTGAACACAAAGCTGATTTGACTGACGATTTAAACCCAAAGCTGGATTGGCAGATGATGCATGATCATAATGCAGGTAAAAATAAATAAATAAATAAATACAATAATCATCACAGTATATATAAGTAATGACTTAAACATATATCAAAAACTAAATTAATCCAACTCTTTTTCTATAGAACAAATCCAGCACACTAATAAAATATAAGTATGAAAACATATGAAAATATGTAAGGCATATATATTATAGAACTTGCTGGCTATAAAAACTATGAAGAACTATAAAACTATACATTATCTTCTGGGGGATAATGACTTTTAGCTTAATCAGACATTCAAGATACTATTACATGTGTATTGAAAGTACATTATCTAATTTCATTTGATTATTTACATGTATATAAATTGACATTTATAGATTTTTTTTCAACACTAGAGAATTTAACCTAAAGACTTGTACTCGCTCTCTTTTGTAGTTTCTTTTTAACTTTTAGTTGGATTAGATATATGTCTAGAAAATACATGTATTTATACTGTGTGAATATTTGTTTTATAATTTCTATAGGTTCAAAATACAGTCAGCCTCTCTCATTAATAAAATGGAAGAACAGGCACCAGTATCCTAGGCTTGCTTCAAAATAGGTAAGTACACCCTGTATAATAAACTTTGTTATATTTTTCCCAACAAAGTTTTAGGATATACTGGATTCACAATGTCTGTTTCTCTGCCTGTTTGTTTGTCTGTAGATTTTTTGGTCCAAAAATTGTACATTTGTATCCGAATCTATTTAATTTTTTGCAATCTGAATTAATATATACTATTTGAACATTCCAAATTCAATTGTCAAAATTTTTGGAAAAAAGTTATTACTTTTAAAATTTTATGATTTTATTATGAAGCATGTCTTCCAAAAGTGAAATAAATGTCTTGGAAATAATATAGGGTGTCAACAACTGTTTTAAAACATTACCTGGTAGTTTTATCATATAAATGTATACATTTTCATGTACTTTGGTTAATAATTTGGGGGTCTGCATCAAGCAGAAATGGATTATATATATTATATCAATTATTTTTTGTATATAAATTAAAAATTTGCAGAGAGAATGTCAGTTGGCTTAAAGAAAGATTTAGCATCAACCCCTGGATTTCTTTTAAGGATACAGAAGTACAGGTATTATGAATATAAATGCTAGCTAACTATTTTGCAAGAATTAAGCATTTAAATAGATGCACTGAGCATTTAAGTAGATGCACTGAGCATGTATGTCATATTATATGAAAGTAATAAAGTTTATAGTCAATATGTATAATAGTGAACCATTTTTTCTTGAAGAATCTTAGTATGTGTTTGATGTATAGAAAAATAAGTGAAAAATGCATTGCTTTATTCATTCAGGAGATGCTCAGCAATCTAGCAAAGAAGGCTGGCTGGACATGAAATGTTATGGGGGTTATGTCTAGCTTTGAATCCACTGAATTCACATATTACAGAAATCGGATCAGAGCAAAGGTGTGCACACATTTTATTTATATATGTTACATATCATCCTAAGAAGTATTAAAGTCTATTGCTAAATTGAATTACCTCGTCAAAACAAAAGTATGCACTGCATTCCATTTAAGCTTTACATTGTGAATTGAATTGTTTAGAAAAAAATGTTTTAGCTGATGGGTAACAAAGAAGTTGATGTAGAGGGTCCCTCCATTAAGTCTCTACATAATTATCGAGGAAAATGTTTCCTTCCTCCTACAATTATGCTAACAAATCCAGAGAGGGAATACTTCACACTGATGCTAGTATGATGCTAGTATGAAAACAGTAAGAATCAATATTTTAAATTGTAAAAATATTGATGTTAAACTTTAATGTTAAAATTTTGAGATATATATTTGTTTATTGGAAGGACATCTTTGCTAGTAAATATGATCAATGATAGAAAATTAGTTCATGTTTGTTGGATGTCACAAACAATTTTTCCAATCATATCTTTAGAATCACTTGAGCCTTCAACTCAGATGAGCTAAAAACAAGTACTTTCATTTTAAATGAAAGTACTTGTTTTTAGCTCATCTGAGGCGAAGGCTCACGTGAAGTTTATCTGATCAAAATTGTCCGTTGTCCATCATCATCATTGTTGGCATCAACTTTTCACATTTATGTCTTCTTCTCCAGAACCACTGGACTAATTTCAACTGAACTTGGCAAAGAGGACCAATAGTAAGGGGTTCAAAGTTCAACCTATAGATTATATAGGGTAAAGTCTTTAAAAATCTGCTTTTCAAGAACTACCACACTACAATTTGTGATATTATTTTGCAAACATCCCTATGCAGTGTTGTTTCAAGTTTGTTGAAACAATGACCACTATACCACCAGTGGGGCCCCTGAAGGGTTGCAAAGTTTTACATAGTAATTTATACTTGTGTATAGGAAAAAAATTAAGTCTTTTTAACAAATTCTACATTGCTACAATAGTGGGGCCTAAGGAGGGAATCTTGAGTAAATTTGATCACTATGGAACATATCAAAAAATACTTTGCAATTTATTCCAGCACTTTTTTTGTATTGACACACATTTCACAAAAGCCACTTGTGTCAGAGTTAAGTGAGTTTGCCATTGTTGCTCAGGTGAACAATGTGGTCCATGGACCTCTTGTTGTTATTATTAATGCTAATTATTTTAAAAATAATTTTTAGAGATTATTCTGTGCCACACACAAATTGTTCAGAAAGGGGACATTGGTGGATTTGCATTTTGGGTACAGTTCAAAGAATTTTCAATATGATGGTGGAAGATCAGAGGGAGGACAAATGGGAAAAGTTGACAGAGAAAGAAGAGAAAAGAATTAGGAAATATCTGGAATAAATATGAATGAGGAGGATGTACTTAATCTTGTCAGACTTTGACATGCAAGGCTTTCTATATTTATATGTATACTGGAATATCATTTTGATTGTAAAATCTCATTGTAATGTATTCATATTTTATATTTCATGCTTTATGCATAAGTACATTAAAATTTTTATGAAAAACTATATATATGTATATATATGTATCTTTGTTTGTTAGATTGAGACACCCCATCCTTTGTGATTTCATACTCATTTATGAAGATTTCAAACCTGCTAGGACTTTCCAACAGACTTGGGCTGTGCCATATGCAGAGATTACTATATGATTGATGTGTTAAATATGCTGTAGGTACATGTAATCTGAATTACTAAGAGAGATTACATATATTGACAAATGTTATTGCAGATATTTCAATTTTGCTAAGGACACTTCCATGTCATATGGTATTTTTATACAAGTTCATGATCTAATTATGTTATTCATTGGTACATGTATACATGTTCATCTCCTTGATCATTTTGCTGAAATCCTTTCAAATAATTTGTACTCATTTTAGAATATGTAAAATACATGTATCGACAAATGCTACTGACTTGTTTGTATACTTTCTTGTTTAAAGTGTGCACCGTGTGATATTAGTTATTTCTGTTGATGAAGATACTTTTGGAAAATTATGCAAGCATTATCAAATATTTACAGGTATTTAACAGATCATTGGAATGTACTGAAATTCATCTAAAGCAGAAATACCTGATTTTCAATGTGTACAAGTGTGTATTTCCTTTTGATAAATATGAAAAAAAAACACATAAATGTTTCATATGATATACATATGATGCCCATTTCATATGATTCTCATATGTAAATGGCTTGAAACACACTAAAACTTTTCATTTGCAAATCATATGAAGTTCTTTTCATATGATTCACATATGTGAATCATATGTGACTCATATGATTTGCTTCATATGATTCACATATGATGCCCTTTTTTTATGATTCTCATATGAAATCAATCATATGATTCACATATGATACACATATGTGGATCATATGTGGCAAAGTTGCCTGTGTACAAGCCTTTTCTGCTGGAACCTTAACATATTGTTCATTTCTTCTTTCTAATTCTTTTTCACTTCCGATTTAGTGAAAACAGGATATATGTTTGCATATTGCCTTTTATCTTCCTGACACGATTCTTTAAAATATTTCTAAAAGACTTAATCCAGTCTGACAAAGTGTTCTCAGCCCCCCCCCCCCCCCCCTTCATATTTCGCCCATCGTCTTTGAAAAAGTTTTGTTTTGGTTGTTTGTTTGCTTGCTTTTTGTTTACATTTCAAGGAGCTAACAAAAAAAAATAATACTGCATTCTTATACCAGATTAAAAGGGCTTCTTCACAAAATGATCCAATACTGAACAACATTGCGAATAAAATAACTTTATAAATTGTTAGAGGAAGGAATTGGTTCCTAAAAACAATATACGTGTCACGAGGAAGAAAACTGCTTTTAAGTATTCCCTTCTTGTAGCAATTTTTTCCCTTGGAAACTTTTACTAGTTATATCACAAAACGGCTCTTCAAGAAGAAACACATCGTTCCAAGCCACGGTTTGGAGTCCGCATATACATGTAGCTCTCTCCATAATGGAAGAGGATCGTACATTTTGGCCGTGGTTAGCGACGACGGAAGAAACAATACAAATATGCTCTACAGCAATTGCAAGTTCTCCTCTATCTACCACAGTACTGTACATCTTCTGACAGAACCCCTTTTAGCTCACCTGAGCCGAAGGCTGAAATGAGCTTTTCTGATCAAAGAGTGTCCGGCGTCCGTCGTCTGAAAACTTGTCACATTTCCGACTTCTTGTGAAGAACCACTTGACGAATTTCAACCAAACTTGCCACAAATCATCCTTGCGTGATGGGGATTTAAGTTTGTTCACTGGAAGTGCCGCGCCCTCTTTCAAGGGGAGATAATTAAGAATTCGTGAAAATTTGGTATGACCTTTTAAAAATCTTCTTCTCAAGAACCACTAGGCAAGAGAAGATGAAACTTATGTAAAAGCTTCATTACATACTCTAGATTCAAGTTTGTTCATATCATAACCCCGGGGGTAGGGCAGGGCCACAAGTTTTACATAGGTATATATAGGAAATGTCTTTAAAAATCTTCTGCTCAAGAACAGCATAGCCATGAATAGTCATATTATTATAGAAGTATCCTCAGGTAGTGTAGATTCAAATTTGTTCAAATTTACGGTGGATAGGGTTAGGCCACAATGAGCAATCAGAGTTTTACATAGGAATACATAGGGAAAAATCTTTAAAATTCTTCTGTGTAAGAATAGCAAAGCCATGATTAGTAATATTGATATAGAAGCATCCTGAGGTAGTGTAAAGGATTATATTCTGTAGTGGCCAGTATCTGCCCCCAAAATTAAACTTTGATGGAGAAATCTTTAATTATGTTCTAAACCAGGTGGATATTTGCAGACTTCAAAGCATTAAATATTTTTATCAACTATGACATCATTAGTTAGATATGACGTCAATAAAATGACGTAAATTCCAAATTGCAATGATTTTGAGAGAAAATAGTGTATTTTACGTCGGTATTTTGATTGGAAATTATCGAGCGCAGGTCTGCTCAGACTAGATCTTTTGATATAATGTGTAGAATGATAATATCAATGACATATGTGAATATGGTACCTGAGCAAGCTTGCGCTCTATAAATACTATAGTCAAATTTGAACAAACTCTGTGCATTTTGGCCTCTATTTTAAAAATAAGGGAAATCCAAATAGTTTGTGATGTCACAGAGACAAGAAAAGCCAACTAATTTTTCCAATTTCATAATATATTGTCTTAATTTGGATTATTTTATACAATATATGCACTTTTGCTCATTTCAAGAGATTTTCAAAATTTGACTATTATGGGGGCCGGAATACGCCCTTACCGTATATAGTTCTTTAAGTTTGCGCCCCCTTTAAAACTTTTCAATACTGAACTGATTTCTGCTTCTTCCTAGCCAGTGTGCTCAGGTGAGCGATGTGACCCATGGGCCTTTTGTTTTGGAAGGTTGTAGTACTGACTCCCACCAACGTTTAAATAGGAATAGAAAGGATCCTCTCGGAACATATTGTCGCCGGCGACAATATGTACCGATGGACGACAATATGAGCAGTGGGTAGGTACATTTTGCCGACGACAATATGTACAGAACGACAATATGTACCGTCACAACCTCTGCAGATATTTGTTTCTAACGTACAGATGTTTCCATACAATAAAATAAACGAAACAAAATGATTCTACATAATTCACCATTCAAATATTAACACATTTTCCACTTGTATACATGTATATTTAGAACACCTGAATCGCTTGCGTCGATAAATTACCTTACTCGTTGGAATGGTATCATTGTGTGTTTGTGTGGTATTCGTGATTAAGATTTTATCTTGATTTGTGGATCCTGTTTTTGAAGTTAGAAATAAAATTTTCGCAACATTTGTGCTTTAGATAGAGTCGTGAATTATTATTCAAATGTTAAAACATGTCATGAATACAAACTGAAGACTTAAAATACAGGTACTTGCGCTAACCCAAACATCCACAGTTTGGTGCCAAAAAAGAAAGTGCCTAATGGTTTAAAAAAAAAATCACGAAATAGATATGCTTAACAAGTTTTTTGTGGAACTTCGGAATTCAAATATATTGAAAAGGTCCATTCATATATCACCAGCACCACCTTGAGTACGTAAGATATTAGTAATTTGGCATTGAAATACAAATCTAGTGTTCATGATCTAAGAGAACTTCAACCGCGTTAGAATTAAAAAGAAAACAATTAATTAATCCGACTCAATGAGTTCAAATGCAGGTTAAAATCTAATCTTATTATATACCAATTTATCATTAAACCGATTATATTATGCACATGTACTGCATTTTTTGTAAAACCACAATCAGCATTTATGGTTGTTATTTAATTTTAAAAAATGTAATTAATTTAATGATAGAATGATGATTATCTAATTACATTATTAATCAAAACCTCTGAAGAGGCACAGATGAATAACCAGGGTATTCGTAAACTTTCGCTTGCGTCCAGTTCTCGATCGGAACAGAACGATATCCGCCATCACACTCTATTTTATTTTTTCGATGCAAAAGTTTCTGTGTTCCTACGAGCAGGGCATGAAAAGAAGTTCTATTCTGTCTGGACGACAGTGGAATGGTCGATTGATTACGTTTTTCGAAAAGAGTCGGTCTCGAGTTGACCCTTGGAATGTTGTTCGTATCAAGTCTCTTTATAGAATAATAACTACTCCTTAGTTCACTGTTTGGGTCATAGTCCCCACGACTATTAGGGCGAAAACTTATATTAAAAACGTCTGTGTCCCTCTTTGCAGGTTGTTTTCCTTTTTTATTTACCTTCCGGTTTTTGTCTGGTGGCGTTTTGCTGAAAAAAGTGATATCACATTCATTGGCCATAGTCCTACTAACGGCACTCAGTTGTCGAGAAGGGGGCATAATATCCGGAAGCCTCTTATAAGATTCAGTAGACCCCTCAACAACGTCAAAACTCACGTTTTTATCTTCCCGACCTTCCCCAATATCAGGAAAGACTGTTTTTGATTTTATGGAAGACGATGAAATCACTATCTCCCGATTATGTTCCTCCTCCACATCTTTATCAACGTAATAATCCCAAGGTTTGTATTTTCTATCCTCATCCAATTTTTTCCTGGCGTTTTCAGATTTAAAGTATATATCCAAAGGATTAAGCCGCCGATAAACCGTTCTGTTAAGAGGAACTTTCTTGATGCGTTTTTTGGGTGGTTGTACATGGCACGGGGGTTGCGTTTTTGGGTTATTCGTCGTTTCTGTTGAAGGAAGAGTACAGCGACTCGACTGGCTTGCCAGTTGCTCTTGTAAAAAAGGCATTTCCACATTAAGGACTAATTTTTGTCTCGCAGGTAAGAAGTCGTCAAATGTCGGACTAGTTGTGATGGTGGTAGAAGTGACAGACATTGCTCCTGGTGTACCGATAGGTTCTTTATCACTTTGTTATTCAATAAAGATTAATTTTATCCCTCACCAAGGCGTAAATTAAATTTTTCGCGGAGACGAAAAAATCAAACATGGTTCTTTCTTAATAACTGCATTAAAGAATACTGACAACACAATACGCAAATTACTTCATGTGGTGCCACTGTACATATCCTTTCATTATGTTAGCATATGCCATAGTCTATACAGAAACATTCCTGATTCTTTATAATGAAAATCCTTCATAGTTTTTCGAAATATTAATAAACCATTCTTCATTGCACATTTCAACGGTCTGTCTGGGCTACAAAGGTTAAATCAAACACGTGAAAGTCTATTTGTCTAATCCACTTAATAACAACTGTAAATACAATATCTTGTGTTTTGTTGTATCGTGACGCGGATCGACTTAAGTTTGTCTTTCATATCGTTAACCAGCTTACTTTTCCAACAGTGTGTCAAACCTAATTAATAATTTCCTGATACGTACAGCACTGAACATTGCAGAGGCTTTGTTAGATTATCAACGTTATTTAAATTCAATTTAAAAAGTTGTTCGATTAAAATTCCCTTTTGAGAGAAAATAAGATTTAACAGCTTGCTGTTAATGGAACAAAAATCGGATAATCGAGCAATAAAAAAGACCAAAAGACTAATAGTGTCAAATATATTCATATTCAACATTATGATACATATATATGCATGAAACATTATGAAGTTGAAATAATTTTATACTTCAATAATACATGAAAACGTATATTTTCGAGATCAAAACCTCGTACATATTGTCTTCTCACCAATTTTATTAAAATAGAAAATTTGGCATTATGACTATATATTAAGATAGTTATAATAGTAAAAATTGGTGGATTGATTGATTGTATGTTGTTTTATGGGACGTAAATCAACATACAATCAATCAATCAATCAATCCAGAATTCGAAAATTTTTCACTCATATAGTGACGTCACTACATACCTGATAAGGGCTTCAAATTTAAACCTTTACTCGGCACTAAGGGCCATTGAGCAGTGAGGGTTCTTTATCATGCCAACGCCTTTTTTAGGTCTCATCCGAAGGACCCTAAAAATTGGTGGAAAGACATTATACGCAACATACTAAGTATGTATGAATATTGATTATGAATATGAATTTTACTGCAGTCAGGAGTGCAACAAAACTGCTTTAGAATTACCAATGTTTTTTTACTATCTTTACTAAAAAATAAGTTGAAAAACAATGTTTGATACCATTTGATGCTCAAAACTCTATGTCTATCAGCAAATTACAGAAATTTTACAGTCAATTCAGGGAATAGTTTTCATTATTTCACATATATTTTCAAATACTCTTTATATACATTACACTTTGCAAATAATCATGTTTTAAGATCTTCAAAAGATGAAAAACCTGCCGTAAATGAGGAAAAATATCAAAATGACAAATTGATTTACAAAGTAAGAATGTGCTATTGTATGTTATGATTTTTAAAACAATGTTAAATAAAATACATATCAGATGTCTGTAAAATAAGGTCACTTCAAAATCTAGTATTTTTTGTAAGAGAACTTGTGTATCAAAATTCTTTTTTGGCTTAGATTTAAAGAATTGACCTAAGTGGACAAAAAACTGAATTTTGGGAATTTTACTGCTTCATATTTTTTTCATATTAAAACTTTTCAAACCAGAATTGAAAAAAATAATGTAAAATAACAATCAAAAAGCCAATTTTTTTGTCACATATACAAGAGAAGATACTCAATCAAGGTCTAGATTTAATCATTTATACCCCTTTTACCATTTTGAAGCATAAAAAACTATAATTTCTTGTGATTATGTATTTTAGAAAGTCTTCTAAGGTGTAATGATATTTTTTTTCAAAAGAAATTTTACTAATAAAAATTCTGAAATTTTTTAATCCAATTGTCTATTCTATTGCCACTTCAGGATTTTAAATTAGAATGCATGTGCAATATGATGGTATAAGTGAAAAATATGTTATAAGTACATGTAGTTGAATTTTTCAAAAAAAAATCAGTTTGGTGGTCATTTTTTTTAATTCACCCATTTACAGTCTGTGAAAATTAAGATTCCAGGAATATGTTTCGGGGTTGCAAGAATCCTGTTAACTTCATGTAATTCACTTTTTCTGACAAAATTAACAAATATGCTAAACAATCTGAAAGTCACCCTCAAGGAGACACAAAACAATTGCTCGTGGTACAGGATACAGTTTTATGCACCATAATTTATTTTCATTACGACTCGTTTTTGTTACGAATTGACATGATACCTCTATGTGAAATCAGGGAGCGCCGCCCTTTGTTGCCTCAAAGCTTTTCAAAAAAAAAAAAAAAAAAAAAAAAAAAAAAAAAACTCACAGTGCCTAGACATTGATCATCTAAAACAAAATCCTTTTGAGTGTTCTTGCTCTTCCTCTTATTTCAACTATAGTACTGCTGGAAACGTCATTTAATTACTGGCGATGTTCATAGGGGCTTCTCTTCCGCATTTTAAATGTAAAATAAATTAATAAAATTTTGAATCTACTCTAAATTCACTTAAAAGTTGTTACATTAAGATTCTATCACTTTCAGACAAGCAATACTATGTTTGAAAAAAAGTACCACACCTATATATGTAAATTTTATGTATGAAGGTAGGGTACGTTTTTTTCAATGTTTGTTGTGCATTTAGAACCGTTTGTTGTATTAAATGATATGTCCTATTTTTATCACATTTTAGCATTCTTTGGACATGTTTTTGTATAATAACCGTTTGTTTTGCAATTACGTACCTATGTTTGTTATGTATCAGTTCGTCAAGTTTGCTTTTATGTATATTTGTTTTGCGAAAAGGTCTTGATTATGCATTTAAGGCCATTTATTATTTTTTATGTTCATTGAAGTTATGATAATCGTTTGTTTTCTTTATAATTTTTGCTCTGAGTCACAGTTTCCATGTAATTTATCTTTGAGTTATCTTTCTTGAATCACGGTACTATATGACTTTAAAACGAAGTGAGAGACACCCTGAATGGTAAGAAATCTGTATAAATGAAATGTATTTAAGAGATCGAACATTTTAGAGTGTTTATTCGGTAATTTTTATTAAGTGGCATGAAAATGCCACAATTTTTTCCAGCTTTAATGTATGTACTGTTTAAGTAAACAAAGGCCCGTGGCCCTAGATACATATGTAAAAGTCATTACGATACGTGTGCATTATTAAATAGCTAAAAATTGAGAAAGAACTTGTCGGTGAAGTCATTCGTGAAATATGGAATATAAACAGAGAAAAATATGATTTTATTTTGAAATTCGTATCTCTCAGAAAGTATTTGTATGTTGCGCAATCGCAGGATAGAACTTCAAAAATCCAGTATATCACTGATCAGTACGTATATATATATATATATATACAGTTGTATGAATATATTTAGTAAAAACCAAAGAGATACTTTTTTAAAAATAGACGTGGTAAAAATATTGCGAACGAATTTAATTTCGTGCGAACGAATTTTATTTCGTGAGAACGAATTAAAAAGAAAATCTCAAGCACATGTCCTATAGCAACCACCGTATATAGCAGCCACCGGAATATTGCCTATTGCCACTATAAACATGTACGTTAAAATTCATGAAGTTCATGGTCAACCATGTACAATAAATGAACATGATTGTATGAACTGCTAATCAGTACTTACATGTACCTTTAAAAGATTTATAAAATTAATATACTCTCAGCAACTGATGAAACAGTATTCATAACCCACGAGTCAAGAGACTGTAGCACCATCCTCAGGTCATACCAAAAATATACTTCGGACGAAGAAAGAAAACCCTTTCAATTTGTGGAGGGAGATCATTTAACCCGTTACCGAGCAAAAATTTCTTGAAAAGAATAATTTTAAAAAAGTCATCAGACATGGGCACAACCGTTAAATATAGTATAGGTTTTCAGCTTAGAGTTAGGGAACTTCGATTGTACCCCTCCCTCCCCAAAATGAACCTCCTTCTTAAAATTCCAGAATGTGCAACCCAATCAAAAATGCATGATTTATAAATAAAATGCAATTTCAATAAATTATTTTTATTTATTTAATGAATCATTTTTAGATGTGAGATTAAAACGACCAGGAGAGCCACAATGGCCAGCACAACAACTATGGCACAAGATATCATCCTGTGTCACCTCTGTGACAAGAGAGCCGCTCTGCTTCACTGTAATCCCTGCCAGGACAACTTATGTGAAGAATGCGTCGGGAGGCATTATATGACGTCATCTTCCTCCTCACATGAGATCGTCAAATACAAGGACATGAAATTCCAGCTGAAATTTTCCAATTGCAAAGCTCACGAAACTGAGAAATGTACCGTCGTTTGTCAAAACTGTGATCTACCAGTTTGCATAAAATGTTTAACAGGGGTCCATAAAGGACATGATGCTGTTGATTTTTCTGAAATCATTGTTGCAGCAAAGAACCGGATAGAAGAAAACACTGCTAGTGTGGAAAAGATCCTTCCTCAGTTTGAACAGGCGGACAGACGAATCGAGTCCAAAATAGGGGATTTGATTTCAAGATGCGATGAAATGCAAAATTTAGTCACAGAACATGGAAAAGAATGGCGTCAAGCCATTGATTATATCGTCGAGAAAAACAAAGGTGCTATCAATAAAATGAAAGAAGATGGGATAAAAGATTTAAGAGAGAGTCAAGCAGAAATTAAGGACACAATCGAAGTCTTAATGCAAGCAGTTCGAAACAACAGAAAAATCATTCAGTCCGTTGATGCGAATGAAATCAACCAATACAAATTGACATCACAGAACTTTTACCAGAATATTCCGTTAGAAGTTGAATTACGACTTCCAACATTTGTCCCCTCGCAGATACATTCTGTTCAACTACAAAAAAAATTTGGAGTACTGAATTCTCCTGTGATTTTGCGTCAACCCAAAACAAGAATAGAATCAGTCTCCAAACCTCGGAAGCTGCTAGACAAAGCCATTGACATAAAAACATTTTCTGTTGAGAACAACTTGAGGCAGATGGCTTGTCTTGGAACTGATGAGGCTTGGATAACGTATAAAGAAAAGTCAATCATCCAACGAATAAACACACAGGGTTTCATACTGGAGACCGTTATGTCTAGTTGTGTGGATTGGAATGGTCATCCGAGTGACATTTTGATAAAAAACGGAGAGCTATTATATACAGATAGAATGAAAAGATCAGTTAATATTGTCAGAGATGGCAAATCTACCAACTTTATCACGGTGCAAAAGGGATGGGAGCCGCTAGGACTTTGCGGTACAAAATCAGGCGACTTACTGGTTGCTATGGGTACTTCTTATGAGGGAACTTATAAGATTGTGCGCTACGAAGGGCAAAAAGTTAAGCAGGAGATAGAAAAAGATGACCGGGGGAATTCTTTATTTAATGAAGGAGATCGAATGTTCTATGTGGCAGAGAATGTCAATGGGGATATATGTGCTTGTGACGTGAACGCCAGGGCCGTTGTTGTGGTCAACAAGGCGGGGAAACTCCGATACCGATATAAAGGAATGCAAACGATGGAAGGAAAGTTTATTCCATGTACCATTATTACGGACGCCATGGGTCGTATCCTGGTGGGGGATAATGGGAATAAATGCATCCACATCATTGATCAGGACGGACAGTTTCTCCGTAGTCTGGATGACTATGATAGATTAAGTATTGACGATCTAGGACGACTCTGGTTGGGGGAATCTGGGGGTAATGAGGTGAAAGTCTTCAAATATACCGAATAGTAAACAGTCATACTATTCTGGTTAGAACTGCCCTCTCAACAGCAAAAAACTAGTCTCTCTGTGTTTTAATGTATATTTTGAACATATTGAAATGCCAAAGTAGCAGATGATATACATATATATGTGATTAATTAGTACTGTGTAATGTGCAAATACAAATGTATAATTTGGAGACTGTTTAAGAATAGAGAGTATTATATTTCTTGAAGATATTACTTTGACCATTGTACAAATTTACCATCTACAGATTTTAAAAATATTTGTTCTTTTGTTATTATTACTGAGTAATTAATTACTGTCAATTTTGTGTGGATAGAAATCATATTAAATGTAAGAAAAGGTGCCCCGTTTCAACATAATGTTCAAACATATTTAATGGATATTTTAAGAACAGTTCGAAGTAGTAAGCGTTTTCTGGAAAACTCTTTAATGACTCTGAAACCCGATTTCGACAAAATAATCAGGGTTACGCATTTTATGTTGAAAAATAGATATTATTTTACATTGAAATGATGTGTATGAATTGGAGAGGGAAGAGCACGCACAACTCTATACTTATATACCAAACTCAAGCATACAACTAGTCGTATTACACTTTTGAATATTATTACCTAAATGTCACAGCCACGTGCATTGTTAAGATTTGATTTTCACATGATCTTGAAACTGTGGGTTAAAAGCTAAAATAGTTATGCAAGCAGATAGAAAAAAAAACCCAAACAGAGTAATCGCACACTAAAACTACATGTACCAAACAGAGTAAGATTTTTCCTTGGGAAATTAAATCTGGTGTGTGGTTTTCATGGGAGAAATCCTACTCTAGAGCCAATTTTCAAGGGGGGGGGGGGGGTTAGAGGAGACCAGTAGCAGATGGTTAGTCATTAAAAGGCAATACGAGTAAAATAATTTGAGATGTAAATGGTTAGATAACAGTGTGGATTTTGAAAGGTGGCAACCAGGAAAAAAAAAAGTCTGACAAGCAAAAAAAAAAAACAAAACAAAACAAAAAAAGAAAGAAAGGAAAAGAAAAGAAAGAAAGAAAAATGTCAAAACTCAAAAATCCTGTTTCGTGGGGGGGGGGGGGGTTAAACTCTCTTACAAGTTTTTTATTAATACATTAGCTACAACAGCAAGTGGTGGGGCGAACCAGCCTTTCCATAAACATTTTCAATAGTAAAAGATTTTGTATGGGAAAGAGCGGGTGGTGCTAGCACCTCTCCTCTCCCCCTAATCGATACTACGTGCCTAACTATCTTTCGCTTGAAAAGGGTAAAAGAGAATTGAGTACCATGTGCAAGTTACATAGTAGACCTACATTGAACCAAGTCTGTGGTCACTCCTTGGAACCGGATATAACAAAATCTCATTAATTAAAATCAAAAGCCATAACAGGCCCGTAGAACGGGGGGGGGGGGGCTTTTTTCTGAGTATAGTATTTTGCTATATAATTAATTTTCGTTTAGATGCTGGTTAACAGCCCCCCACCCCCACCCCCACTTTTTGTTGCTGTAAGGTCGAGCACTGGCAAATTCCAGGATTTGGACATTAATTACGTGTGTTTGTTTTGCTTGATAGCTCCCCCCCACCCCCCATTTTTGGTCAGTTTAGTTGTTTTTGCTTGTCAGACTTAGCAAGGGTTTCAAAAGTGGGAGGGGGGCAACTTAATTAAATGGTATATAGGTGATGACCCCTGGAGGTCCCCCCCCCCCCCCCGAAACTTGAAATGATCACAATATGACCTGCCTCAAAAAGGGTATCAATACACTAAGTACTTCACGTTATATTGATTACTCCACGGGAGAACCCATCCTTCTAGAATTAGAGATGAAAATCATTTTCTCCTGCTCCATATGATCAATTTTTGTTATGTTCTGAGAAAGTAATAGTTGTATATATTTGAACAATCGAGGGTGGGATGGAATCTCTAATGATAAATGTTCAAGAATCCTAAAATTTGCTAATTTTACCCCGCTTCATACTTGTCATCAATACTTACTTCAAATTATGAATGGGCTACAACGAAAAATATCAGAGGCGTATAGGGATCAAGGTTTTTGTAGAAAAAATTGCATTTTTTTTTACCTCTTTTTCCCCTATTTTACTACTTTACACTCTAATGACCACAGTAGATAATGAATAGTACTTAAATCACGTGAGCTTGGTCTTTGACCATTATTCACTACTGAATTCACAAAGCAGTAACAGACAATACCAGGCAACTTAACGCTGCAGAATAATATATATACAATTTTGATATGGAAAATGCTTTACGAGAGCCTACAGATAAACAAACATTAAGGTAAATCATTAAATGTTAAAATGAATTATACTTGCGAATTAGTTAAGTTTTTAAAAGAAAACTGTAAACAATCTGATCGACATTGCGTGATTCTCGCCATTCCAAACGTTATTTTCAGTGGTCAATGGTCAACCGATACAACTCACAAATCTCTTAGACAGCAAAATGTAGTTTCTCATTTTCATATTTTCACTAGTTTTAGGTGACGTAAAATAGACTGCAGTGACTGTTTTGAAAATTATCGTTTATGAATTATTCATTTACTGTGCATTCACGTGAGCATTATTATTTCTGCATAAAAATACTTAAAAAAACAACTGTTGGTAAAGAAGTTTTTTCTGTATCAGTGCTGTTTAGGACATAAAGTCCCAAACTCTCCTTTTAGAAAAAATAGAAAGATTTTTGATACCAAACAAACTAATTAATTTTCTGTTTTAAGGTATGCTGCTTGATTTTATTAATTTAAAATGTGAAAAAAATGACTAAAAATGCACCAGATTCCATCAAAATGGTACCCATTAAAAAAAAAAGTTATGTAGTTATCTTTCAGACACTCCCCGCACCCCATCAAACTTAGTGACGGCCCTTATCATGTATATATAGCAAGACAGACTTGAAGCATGAATATTTGTATCCTGTTTAGAGGTAGAACATATTCTACGATAATTGCAGGGGCAAATGAATTGATAATATTCCGTCAAATTTGCATCGGGATCGAAATTATGAATTCAAAATTCTGACATGTGGCGCGAACAGCAAATTCGATCAGAGGAGATTGTTGATTTTCCTGAAAAAAAGCTTTCTATGAAATAATATTTGTTGGAGGTAGATGCATGAATTGCTGATGTTTTCGACAAAGTATTTTTAAGCCGTGGAAAGAGACTACTTACCGCCAATTGGTGAATCGGGTAACACTTTACTATAATCAGATAATAGTGTATTGTAGTGAAAATGTACATAATGTTATACATTGAAAATATTTAATAATCTTCTTTACTGCTTGACTTCAAAGTGGAAATTTGTTGGTATGGTTATATTATGCAGTGAATCCTTTACCAGTGTTTACAGAAATTGTTAATTTAATGACACATGGGTAGAGACACCAGGTCCAGGCGGGTGAGGCTAACGAAATGCAAAAATATTTTTTTCTGCTGGAAACCAAGCAGTCAAACTGTTGGCATGATTATAATTGCGCTTAGTTTTACTACTAAAATGATAAAATTCATGACTCCTACGCCAATGGTTTTGGCTTCAGTGTGAGGTTAAGATGGTCATTTATTGGTATGGAGAGCATGTATTACTGGGGGTGGGGGTGGGTGGTGGGGTGGGGGTTAGCCTTTTAAATTTTCTTTTCACTTTTACATATTAAGGCATTTAACAGGTCTAGGTATCTCCGTGTTTGGAGGATAGAGTTATCCTCAGAAAACAGAGGATAGCAGTCTTGCTACCTACCGGACTTTTCAAAACAAAGGGCAGTTAACCCTTAATGAAATAAATAAAAACTATTCATGCATTTTTTAAAATGTTTTATGAACCATACAGTGATATGTCAACCAAAACAAATAAAAGATAACTACATAACCTTTGATAAAATAAAATAATCTCTGACCAATATTACACCATTTGTGTATTTACCATTAACCATTAATTAGTTGACAGTTTGAAAACAAGTTGCCCTACCTTCACTTACAGGCTGGGTTATTTTTACTATTGATTTCTTCATTCATTCCTTTTTCTTTTATTTACTTATCTTATAGGACTGTATTTTGCATTTCCATCTGTATTTCTATTTCATTCTTTTTAAGATTAAAAGAAAATACAGCTGACTATGAAAAGTAATTTCAAGGTGCCTTTTTCTTTGTTTTTAAAATAGGGTGAAAAAATAATAATAAAGCAGAATAAATAAGGAAGTAAAATTTACTGTAATAAGAGAGTGCAAAAAGTGCCAACTTAAAAAAAAATTGTAAAAGATCTAGACATAGAATCTCAAATCTACACATACAATTGATACTTTAATGTACTTTAATGTGTGAACTTTTATTTAAATGTATTCTGGTGCATGCTCTTTTCCACTAAAGGTAGGACAAGGAGTTTGAAAATTACCTTTGTTATCCTTCAAAATCGGAGGATAAGCTATTCCGCAATGCATCACAAATTTCCACACATGGAGATAATTTGGCTGCCATTTAGAATTTTAGCTATCCTTGAAAAACGGAGCATGTCTAGGCCTGTTGAAATTGTTTGCATAATATACCTATTGTTCACCAATACTGTACTCTAAAATTCATTGCCTCTGGGTTCAGGGTTCAGGCCCCAGGATGGGGCTGAAATTGTCCCATGAAGAAACTACAGTACACATTTGATCATCTTCCATCTTCATTATGGAAACTTAAAGAGTAAACAAATAAATTGTGTAATTATAATGAGGAGCTAATCCTCTACCAAAGTTGTAAAATTCGTCAGACCCCAGGGTTAACTGAAGCTCAGCTGCCCTGATGAGTCTTAGGTTCAAGTTCCAGGGTGGGATTAATTAGTCATATTATGAGAAACTCTTGATACTCAGTGACGACACCCTCTGCCTCTCGTATTGTTTAAAGGACAGGTTCTAAGCATCAAAATATTGGCCATGGATTTTCTTTTCAAGGGCCGAAACATGTTTTTGTCAAGAAGAAAATTGTATGGCTAGACATTTAACTTGCAT